TGCAGGAAAACCTTCCTCATTGCATTAAGAATGTGAATAAGTGTTCTTCCCGGCATTCTCTTTTGTTATGACCCATGTTGAGATTCCCAACCCTCCCCTAGTTTGTTTTTGTCCACCACTTTTCATCTCCACTGGGTCATCCTTTGATTTTCTCTTTTCCGTCATTTAATTTCCCCCTTCTATTTCCCCTAGTGAGTGTGCTTCTTGATTTTTGTCTATTTTTGTCCCTCTAAAAGGGATGGACCTAACATTGTTTTGTTTTAGTTTTATTTTTTTTTTCATTTTTAGGGATGGACCAGTCCCCTTACTAACATTGAATAACCAATCAACATCAATAGATACTTACCTGGATTCACTCCTGATTCAGCCTCCTGACTCCCCCAGTGATGTGGTACAGGTGGATCAGCCTCCTGCTGTTATCTGTTGCCCTTACTTTATGCTTTGGCGTTAGAACCCCTTCACTGGCTAAGGGGTTCAGATTGTTGTTTCCCCCTCCAGTTGAAGAAGAATTGGTCAGAGGTACTGAACAAGACTTTTGGCACAGTTGGGTGCCTGGGAGGGGGCACTTCCAGGGGCCTTTAGTTGAACTGATGGACCCATCCGCATTCTTGGAGTGCGGTTTGGGTTCAGACTCCAGTTGAAGAAGAATTGGTCAGAGGTACTGGCAAAGGTTGGAGCATCGGTCTGGACTTGGCTCCAAAGGAGATTGTCCTTAAAGGGTAGGGCTGAGGCGTGCGCCACGTCTTGCCCCTCATTCTTTACCATTTGTCTGTACTTCCTCTTTGCAGGACCCAGTTGGAGGAGATTGAATGTTTGATGGTAAAATTCTTGTGGGGTACTTGCAAACATTGGGTCTGTAAAGAAGCTTGTTACCAGCATCTGTGTCGTGGGGGCTGGGATTGCCACACCTGGTGTGCCATTGCCATGCCTCTAGGTTGGATTTCCTATGCTGCGTTTTGATTAAGAACTCGATTTTGACACGGAGTGTTATGGACGCCTTACCTTCACTCCTCCATTTCTTGGGGTAAGCGCCATAAGGGTTGAGGAATGTTGTCAATTTTCCTCTAAGTGTCGGTCAGCCTTGAAGGCCTTTCCTCAGTCCAGTGACCTTTCTCAGCTTCGGAAAGCAGTGTACCATGAATTAGTGAAGGGGGTCGTGAAGGATCCTCTATGGGATCGGCTCGACTTGCTGGCATCAGAGTTGCGCTCTTTCTGGTCTTAGGTGCTGGCAGTGAATTATCCTGAGTTTTCGCTTAGCTAGCAATTGATTCGGAACGTGCTACCTCTCAATGACATACTCTTCAGATAGGGCAAGGCAGATTTCACAGACTGTCACTGGTATGACCTTGGTTTAGAGGAAACAGCTTCGCATGCCTTCTACCATTGTCCTCAGGTGCACCCTTTCTGAAAGTATGTCAGTGAGTTGACGGCTCGTATCGCTCCCAATCAGCTTGTGTCCATCGACCTTGCATAAGCAGAAAAATTAAGCAACCAAAGTAAGTGTAATGTAAATTAGTAGAATTCTTGAATACTGTATAAAATAACATATTTACTAACTCTCTGCTTATTTTTTTCTTTTCTTTATAAGTTGAGTAGGCCACATAGATCATGCATTTTAGTGCTTGAATTTTGAAATTTAAAATATTCCTTCATCCAAGCAGTAAAAGATAATCACCTTTAACACATCAAACAAATTTTAAAAACATTTGAAACTTTGCATCTTCCAATGCCCAGACAGCTTCTGATGTCTTTTAATATGAAGATAAAATATAATTTTTATGGTAGAATGTTAAAATTTAGTCAATGTTAAAAGGCAGTTTATTAGTGTTGCATCCCCCCAATTGTTAGAATTTGCAGTATCACCATATATTTAAATGAATTGACTGTGACCTCTGTAAAAGTCAAGTAAAAGATGATTTTTCAGAGTGCATTTTCAAACAGCAAACAAAATTTGGCAATGAAATTTGAAAATGCATTTCCTAGCCAATCAAAACAAAATGGGGGTTACACATAATGACTTAACAATATAAATAGCTTCATATAAGATTAGTAAAATGCCTAATGCTCTTCATATCGAATGGAAATGTTTAGTTGCTTAATTTGATGACACATCAATCCTTGTTGGATTATTTAATATTGGATAGAAGTTTTATAAGACAAAAATCCCAATGAATTATTCATTCCATTGATTTTATGATTATCATTCTTATATGAATATTAATCAGTATTCAAGGAGATTTCTAGAGAAATATAACATTACCATATTGAGAAATATGAAAATGTTAGCATATAGTGGCAAATATTGAAATTAGCCATTTTGAATTTGCCCCAACTCAGTAAAACTCTTGTAACTCCAGCTACAATCAAAAGTCCGCACAAAAACCATAATAAAAACAAAATTATTTAACTGTAATAAAAGAAAAACATAAAAATGAAGCAATTATGAATTGTATTTGCAATGGTTTAAGCACTCCAGGGAAAGATATTCCCATAACCGGGGACAAGTACAGTGCTTGTGTTACTTCTTCATGCAAGATTGGGAAAAAAAAAGAAATATAAAGAAGACAAAAAATGTTTTTTTTTTTTTTTTTTTTTTTTTTGCTATTTTAACAGCACCATGGTTATGGTAATTTATTCACGCATACATGGACTCACCCAGCTTAGGAGCAGGTACTGCTTTATGGCTTGGGGGAATTTCCAGCAATCAGCTCTGACAGTTGGACCAAACAGTCTTGCTGTAACACTCTCGATTGTATATGTTTGTATTACTGTTTTTGTTAATATTTGTTTAACTCAATTCCTCTCTTTGTGTCTTTATTTCTGGCCCTAACCCCGGCCACAACAACCACCTAACAATGTTGTGAAATAGGTGGGGTTGATTTATGCTGGAATCAAAAGGTGGTTAGGTTCATGCTGGAGCTAAATAATGGTTGTTTGGGTCAAAGTTACATTAAAGCCAATAGATAGGTGTGAGTCTGGTTTATACTAGTATCTTCAAGTATCTACCTCAAAGGTACCCCAGGTGGGGGTGCTCTTGCTCTCCTCTACAGGAGATATAGTCAGCATATCTTAAGTCACTGGCAGAACAAGCAGAAAAAGGTTAGCCTTAACTTTACATCCAACATTGAAACCCCTACATAATCATGAGTGAATAAAAAATGAATGTATTTGTTTAATAAATCCTCCCTTTGATATCACCATACACAGAGGAAGGGGCTTATTGTGATTGTTTTGGATAAGCAAATGTTATAACAATTGAAACTGTTTACAATCTTTGTTATGAATTCATTGCTATTTGCATTGAATATTACTTCCACATTTGATCTGGTGTTTCTATGTATCTAGACAAATTTCAAAGATGAACCTCCAATGTCATCACTCTTGACCTTGACGTCTCTGCTTCAGTCACTTTTCTACTAGCATAATGTAACTTTCCTTCGTCTTTTCTATAACAATTTTCATGGTAATTGTTCTGATGAGCTTTCCTCGTTGGTACCTCGACTTCAAAAATTTAAGTGCCATACTAGATTGGCAGTTAGGTCTCCTCATTTTATTGTTTAAATTGTTTGATGTAACCATAAGTTCTATGTCGAAAGTTTCTTCTCTCACACTTCTCACATATAGAATGACTTTGATAACAATGACTATCTGTCAACCATAACTCTCTTTCACTACACTATATCTACTTACAGTAGATGGTGCACTAATATGTATTAGTTCTCCTTAAAATGTTTGATTTTTAGTGGTGGCCATATTTAATGCAACATTGTGCATGAAGGGTCTGGACTTGATCTAACATTTATCAAGACTGGACCCTTACTGCACTTTGTCATTTCATTGCATCCCCTCCTCCAATCTATGAATTTAATTGATTTTTCCCTGATTGTCACTTTCATATCAGTTCATGGTTGCTAGAGTAATTGCTTTTATCATATTTGTCCAGGCCCAACTGCAATTATAACAAATGGCTTTTTCTGTATAATATTGAACAGCAGGACTGTGACTGGATATTTCTTTGTTAATCACCTCCACTTATGAAACACATCACATTGAAACACTGGTTCTTGTTTGATCACCAAAGTTAAGCAATGTCAAGCCTGGTCAATACATAGATGAGTAACATTGAGAATGTCAGGTTCTGTAGGCTTGGATGTCTAGTTGGTGTAATGGATAATAGCTCGAATTGTTAATCGGAGAGCCGAGTTCCAATTCCCATTGGATTTGTCACATTCACTTACATACAAATACTCTTGGGAAAGGTATGAATCCACCTCTTCTCCCCCCAGCTATGAGTTAATTAGTAACTTTTATCAGTAAGCCATTATAATCAATCAATCAAATATTGATTAGCTACACAGCGTGGAATTCTATATTAGTATAGTACACCATGGTACATAGGAATGTCTTTTAGTATATTTTATATTCTCTGGAAGCTAATATCAGTTTTTATATTGATTGTAATATAGAATTGATCCCCCACTTTGTACATGCATTATAATTTTCTGTTTATCAAAATTCTGATTGGGTATGAATTCACCTCTTCTCCCCCAGCTATGGGTTTATTATTAAGGTTTGTATCACCAAAAATCATTATCTCCAAAAAAAATTTTACAATCTAAAAATATTTTCTGACTTTAAATAACCTGCAATGGGTTGGTAGGCTGTAGAAAACGAATTGAGCAAACAATCACTTCCATCATGATACAACAAACATTAACAAATTCAATTGCAATGCAAATATCCAACCTGGAGGTCAGCAACCAACAGGCATAATATCCACTATGCTATTGTTCTGCTGTTTGACAATCATGGTTACATTAATTCACAGATACTAAATGAGACAGAGTGCACTGATACCTGCATAAATAAACCTGTCATTTTTTATGGGTACTATGCTAGGATCGTTTTCATAAGCTGATAGTTTTATGTAATTATTTTCAAATTAGCTTCTCTATAAAATTTGATAACTTCTAAAAAAAAAAAAAAATTATTCTTTTCAGCATCAATATGAATCAGCTGTGTTTTGGGCTGACAAAGCAGTTTCTTTATCCGCTGGTAAGTGACTATTTTTATTTTTTTGTAATGTCCATCTGCCTGTACTAGTGAACATCAGAGAAATAATAAAGTTGTATTTGATAAACAGGATTTTTAATTTATTGTCAACTGTAGCTTCCATTTAAAAAAAATATTGATAGTGAAAAGTAAACATTCAAGTTTCTATGATCATGACTGAATGTTAAAATTCTGTCATGTCTTTAACATGAATTAGTTGGACAGCAGCCTTATTGCAAGAGAATATTCCAGTGTATGTAATCATTGGCTTAGTGTGTTCTCGAGTTTGCTTGGAATAGCTTGAATTTCAGAGAATATAATTGACAAGCATATGGTAAATGTAATGTAGTTTCGGCAAACATAGACCTTCATTCACACAAAAAAAAAACTAGATGTCAAGAGGACAGTTTTACATTGACAAAGCTATTATTTTAACTCCCTTCACTCTCAATGTTTATTCTTTTAAAAAGCGATGGTTAGAATTGTAATAAAACCTAAACATATGAAAGTGAATTTGTACATTTTCTTTGTTCTTGAGAATTGACAACGAAAAAATAAACAATGTTTATTTATGAAATGAGTTTGAATGCCAAAGGTAACATCAAGTGACAAACCTATTACTTATATTAATTATATACATACATTTTTATTATATATATATATATAGTTAACATTGAAGTCAACACTTTGAGGTGACAGTCTGTTTCCTGCTAGGCGCAATTGTCAGACCTTGTGGCCTGAGGATTGCATCTAGCATGAAGCAGCCTGTCACCTCAAAGTGTTGACACTTTTAATTTTCACTTTATATTTAAATATAGCACACCTTTATCCCTTTAAATATATATATATATATATATATATATATATATTTTTATATATATATATATATATATATATGAATGATAAATATACATTTTTTTCCCATCGTTAGCACAATGTAATCTTCAGGTGGTGAGTTAAGACTTACCTCACCACCTGAAGATTGTAAATGTATTTTTGGCAAACACTTTTGTTCACACAAAATAAACTGGGTGTCAAGAGGACAGTTTTTCCCTTGACACCACTACTATTTTAACTACCTTCACTCTCTGTCAGTGTTAATTGTTTTAAAAAGTGGTTATTAGAATTGTAATAAAACCAAAATGTATGAAAGTGAATTTATATTTACATTTTTTTTTTTTTTTTGCTGACACAAAAGTCCATATTTGCCATAAGTTTCCATTAAAGAATACTTATAAATGTAGTTTCATTAATTAAAAATATAACTTCACATAAACTCATTAAAATGGTTATGAGAGAAAATGTAAGAAATTCAATGCATTTTTTTTTCTAAATTCATAATTACAGTTCCTTGTCATTATATGCTTAATTAAATTTTCTTATTTACACTATTTACGTTGTTCATGCTGTTGTCCTCCATTTTATTGTCATATTTATGACGTTTTGGCTGCTGTATGCTCCAGCCATCTTCAAGTGATTGGAATTAAGTAACTGAACCCTTTACTTCATCCACCAGGGTAGATTGTTCTAGTTCCATGTGCCATGCCTCTTTTGGACAGCTCAGTTTCAGTTATTTCCCTTTTTTAGTAACACAACTTGAACACATAACTCTTTGGGTCAAGTCAATGCATTACTTCAACCAATGCTTTTATGCACTGATACTAAGATATCCTGAAGAGATATGGAACTAGAAGAATCTACCCACCCCCTGTGGACGAAATAAAGGGTTTGGCTTCAATTTCCAATCATCTAAAGAAGGCTGGAGCATACAATCACCAAAACGCTGTGAACATGGTAACAAAGATGAGGACAACAGTCCAAACAATGGAACTAGTGTAAATAGTTACAATACCTCATCTCAAAAATAGAGACGGATATTAAATTTTCTTCTTCTCTTGTTTGAACATTTTTATAAATTTATGAAGAAAAACAATTATTTTTATATAAGAGGCTAAATAATAGCTTTTAATATTTAATTGTTGTCAATTCTCAAGAAAAAAAAGAATGCATAAATCCAGTTTTATATGTTTAGGGTTTATTAAAATTCTAAAAGTAGCTTTTTTTTTTTTTTTTTTTTTTTTTTTTAGACAATAAAATATGCTGAGGAGTCATAGAGATGTTAAGAGAAAAATATTGTCCCTTTGTCACAGCATTTTTTTGTGGATATGTGTTAAATTTTGCCAAATTTTCTCAACATCTCTCTCTCTCTCTCCACTTCTCCCCCCAACAAATGAGGATCCAAGAGTTAGGTTCTTAGGACCGAACAGCCAGACAACCTGTGCATATGATTTGATTATAATGGTGAGGTCTTGTGTAGAACCAACCACACATTTGGAAGAGCCAAATAGATAGAACTAGTGCACAGTTTACCACAAGGTCCCTTAATGACATTCAGGTTTTGAATTCATTGTTCTTCTCCTAGATTGGTTGCCACCCAAGTCTAAAGGACAGTCTGTCTTAGTATTTACCCCTAGTTGGGGGGTAGAAGAAATGGATTCATACTTTATCCAAGGGTATTAGTACATAAGTGAGTGTAACATAACTAGAATTTGAAATTCAGCTCTCAGATTCCTCAATCCGAGCCGCTATCCATTATTCCACCATTCCTCTCCATATATATCACTTGTACTCAGTAATTCACTCTAAAAATTTCATTTGTAGTCTGTGGTTAATTTTCTGCAATGGCCTTTCACATTTTTCAATTGTACAGGCTTGCTCTGTGCATTATCTTCAATACTGTTTGGTGCCCAGTAAAAAAAAAATCAGTAAATTCAGAAAGATGTGAGACAACCATTGTAAACTGATGTGACTGAAAAATTCAAAAAGAATTTCTGCACATTTTGTCAATCTCCACACTGGATTTTCTTCTTTGAAAAGTATGATAACTTGGTGCTCAAAATCAGTGAGTTGTTTAACCATACTAGAAGGGCAGAATGAAAGACAAATGTTGTTTGCAATTAACTTTGAAATCATGGGTCACAAGTTTGAGCCACAATTAATCAATCATAAAAGAACCAGAGTGAGAGTCAAATGATTATTCAAGGTCATGAATATTCAAGAAATTTACTCAAGGTTATTCAATGTCATTTATTCCTTAAAGATAAAACAATGATAATAAATTTTCCACGTTTTTACTGGGCACCCTGTATTTTTTATTTAATCTCATTGTTTTAAGTATTTGCTCTTATTCCAAGCTTTGTACTCATCTTCACACTTGGTCTACTGATGAAATTTTTACTTTTCAATTTTCTACTACCTTCTCTTCTTTTCCAGTGTGGCTTTGTTTATTTTTCTGGCCTCATTTCATAAATGAATCCATTCTACCTTATTGCAGGGTCTTGCCTCTAATAAATTTTTCCGTCTTCATTAAATCCAATTTTGGAATTATAAAAATGATTGCATTCTCAATTTTTTTTTCTTCAAACAAAAACTGATGATGTTTAACTGCTGTTAAAATTGAAAGGACATTAAAATAAAAATAGTAAAAAAAAACAAAAAACCTGTCAATTTTTGTCTTAACTACTAAATGTGTTTTTAATTTAGGGGCTGTTGATGACGTTTATTGGTATGCTCAGTCTCTCTACCTCACTGGACAATACCATCGTGCCTCTCATCTTTTGCGTAGTAGAAAACTAGACAAGGCAAGTATAAAAAAAAAAGTTTATTTTTTATCCTTAGCGCCTATCCTCATAATCGATACTTATGTTCATGTAATCTCAAATAGTAAATTTAATACAACCAACTTAATCATCCGCAATAACTTTTCCAAAAGACCAACATTGTATCTTTTGCAAAAGACCAACATTGTATCTCAATTTAAATGTTCTTTTGGAAGATTATTTCTCATGAAAAAGTAAATATAAAAATTGTAAAAAAATAAAATTTTAAATTGCAGGTTGAGTATTTTAAAACATCTTACTTATTATAAAACGCAGATTGTGTGTGTGTCTGTACGTTTATATATTGGATCGGATTTCCTACATTTTTCAACCGATTTCAACAAAACTTCACAGGACTACGTAAAATTACCTTGTGGTGGTTCTGACAGCGCCAAAAATTGGAAAAACAATTGTTTTTGCATGAAATCAATTTGAAAACACGATTCTGTTGCCAGAATGAAAGAGTGACAACTCATATCGAGTTATACTTATTATAAAACCCAGGTTGTTTGTGTGTGTCTGTGTTCGTTTATATATGGGATCGGATTTCCTACATTTCAACCGATTTCAACAAAACCACTTTTTTTTTTTTTTTTTTTTTTTTTTTGGCAGGTAGTGTTTCTTATTGTCTTGCACACTTTTTTCTTTATTTTTACATTCAGAATGCTTTAAAAATTCCATTTACAAATCAATTGTTTATAATAAAATTCTATTCAATCGATAGACTCTTAAGTAATGATTGAAAACAATGTTTTTGTTTGGGTTTGACCAATTCGTAAAAAAAAACAAAAACTACTTAAGACATGCTTGTCCATTAACTTTAAATAATAAAATAATAATCTTTGTCAATTTTATTTTTTAGTCTTTATGATGGTCGATACTTGATCTATCTCTTACTGTTACTGTCCCCGGGCAACGCCGGTCTCTACTGCTAGTTAATGATAAAAAAAATATAAATTAAGTTACCTCCCTTATATTTTCTTAATGTTAATCTTTGAATTAACTATAATGAAACCCATTTCATGTGAATTTACAAAAAATTTATAATTATCAATTACATTAATTTTTTTTGTCTTAGCAATTCATCCCTGAAAATGATCTTGGATGAGATTACAAGTACTTAAGAAAAATAAAAGGAATAAGAAAAACTACAGCATCTTTCTTCATCAGTTTAATAACAACACTAAGAAATTGATTCATGAATTTGAGATGATTATTATAAAAATGAATAGACTTAATGTCTAGATTATTCAACCAAACATACACACTTGGTTGAATAATATCAACAAGTTCTGTCTATCCAATTTTTTATTAACTTTTTTTTAAATCTCCAAATTATTTTTATATAATCAGTGAATTTACCAAAGTTCATTTTTATTTTTTCATTTACCAAAAAAAAAAAATTGGTAAATTTGCCAAATATACAAAACAGCTAAGTTAGAAATTAGAAAAAGGTTTATAAAAAATTGAATAGACAGAACTTATTTAAACTTAACCTGTTTGAAAGAATTCTTGCTGCCTGAACATACTATATCTATCTATTTATCATACTTATTATAAAACCCAAGTTGTGTGTGTGTGTGTGTCTGTACGTTTATATATTGGATCGGATTTTCTACATTTTTCAACCGATTTCAACAAAACTTCACAGGACTACGTAAAATTACCTTGTGGTGGTTCTGGCAGCGCCAAAAATTGTAAAAACAATTGTTTTTGCACAAAATCAATTTGAAAACACGATTAAGAGGCATCACTGTCACCAGAATGAAAGGGGGACAACTCATATCAAATTAAACTTACAAAACCCAGGTTGTGTGTGTCTGTGTTCATTTATATATGGGATCGGATTTCCTACATTTTTCAACCGATTTCAACAAAACTTCACTTTTTTTTTTTTTTTTTTTTGCATGTAGTGTTTCTTATTGTCTTGCACACTTTTTTCTTTATTTTTACATTCAGAATGCTTTAAAAATTCCATTTACAAGACAATTGTTTATAATAAAATTCTATTCAATCGGTAGACTCATAATCATTGAAAACAATGTTTTTGTTTGGGTTTGACCAATTCATAAAAAAAAAAAAATAATTAAGACATGCATGTCTGTCAACCTTAAACAATAATCTTTGTCAATTATGATGGTTGATACTTGATCTATCTCTTACTGTTACATCCCCAGACAATGCTGGGCTCTACTGCTAGTCTATCGATATACATACTCATTTTTTCATATATAATCTATCATCAAGGTTTTATTTATCATTTTAAAGAAATATTAATGTATTTACATCTTTAAGATACTTTTAAAGTTTCTATTATAACCCCTTATATAAAAAGCCCTAGTGACAGTGTAGTGTTACCTGAGATTTTTTTTTTTATCATGGTGTCTCTGACATTGCTATAATTTTTTTTCTTCTGTTCATAAATTTTACTCTGTTGTAAAAAGTTGATAAATAATTGAGTGGATCTGGTCATTCTACATTTTTTTCACTCGCTATTTGCAAATAGGGATTGTAACTTTTGATGAAGTCTGTTTATCAAAATTTGCCACAAAAACAGTTTGTTTCAACCACTTCCTTCATACAACATTGCATTGCTGCCATTTCTTAGTTTTCCTTGAGATTTTACATTTTTTTTTTTTTTTTCCTCCCTCAGAGTCATGCAGAATGTCGGTATCTTGCTGCCCGGTGTCATGTGAGTAATTTTGCATTTTTAACTTATTTTACAAGTCTTCAATTTGATCTCAAAAATGTGTGACACTTGAACCATTGAAAATTGGAACAAAAAAATTATTATTACATGTGTTTTTTTTTTTTGTGTGTGTGTGTGTAACTCATATAGGTGCTGGGGCCAGGGGGGACTCCTTGAAACTATTGTTGCAAGGACTCCTAAAACTTTATCATGGCACCACCGGTACCTCCCCTTGCTAAACACCTTGGGACAACTGCTCAATATGTGTTGGAGGGATCCTTTCTTCTGGCACAATGGACAAAGTGGAGACTCACTGGACTGGGCAGTGTATCATAAACTTGCCTGTACAAGGAAGCTTGTATTACTGGGATTAATGTACCAGAGATCTGTTCAGGAAATCTTCCTTTTTTTCCAGGTTTCCCCATTTTGTTGAGGCCCCCTGTTGACTTGAAGTCACCATTTTACTTGATCTATGCTCTGCTGTACTGAGCTCATGTGATGCCTTCCACTTTCTCCCAGTTCAAACCTCGTCTTCACCACTTTAAACTCTTCCACTAATCCTCTGAAGTTGCAATGCATTAGAAACTCCATGCAGAGCTGCACTGTTTAAACTTCCGGTAAGCTGAGCAATCTTATCAAATATATAAATTTCTTCTTTTAAAGGAAAAGAAGAATTCTAATCCTCTCTAAATTATTTGTTTCATTTTGTAACACACATTCACGTTGTGGGTTATACCCACATGGCTTTGATGGGAGGTGTTGGATGACACCATGGAGCGACTGTGGGAATGGCACACTTTCTGTCTGTGCTTTTCTCTCTTTTCCACCCAACATGTTGTAGCAATGACATTCATGGGACCTTGTCTTCAAGTATGGGAATATCCTTCCCGTTAGTGACTGAACATACCACACACACACTCACACTCTCTCTCTCTCTCTAACCTGTAATGTCTTCTTCCTTTTGTATGCATACTAGTGTATTTTCTTTCTTTTCTCTTTTTTTTTTTTTTTTTTTTACTCAGTTATATAAAAATCAAAATATAAAATATGGCCTTGTTGAAATTTGTTTCATTTTCTTACACTTGTCATTTACCTGAGCAAAATATTGTTGCCATTGCTTTTAGTCTCCATTAAAAACAAAGAGTGGAAAGGTGTTTGATCTGAAGACTCATTGGGGTAGTGAAAGATGCCTTCCAAAAGCTAAGCAAAGTATTAAGATAAAGTTTATTAGAAACAAAGAAAAGTGTACTGAACTATTATGCAGTATCAATACTCCTATATAGCAGTGAATGCTGGACAATCTCCACACATATGAAGAAGAGTGTTGTATCCTTAAAGAAGGTTACAAACAGATAAAAGTGGTACTCAAGTGAAAGGAAAAGCAACACAGACATAGATGAAAGAAAGGTTTAATGTTAAAGAGAATACACTACTGCAAGACAGGTAATAAGTTAGCAAGCTTGTAATTCTCGAAGCAACCTATGCTTACTATATCTATCTACTGATATATTCAGTCCACAATAGGCAATAGGGAGAGTGGGACATTTCATTACAACAAAGAGACTTGAAGTAACAGAAATGTCCTTCTACAGAAGGATACTGAATATGTGAACAATGACAAAGTTTTAGAGAAAATGAAACAAAAAGGAAACTAATTCTTAATATCAGGAAGAGAGTTGAAATTTCTCTAGCACATAATGAGGAAAGAGGACTTGGAAAATTTGATACTCACAGGACTGATTGAAGGCAAGGGCAGAGGAAAACAACACATAGCATACTTAGCTTGAGTAAATGGCTGGCTGAGTAAGATTAGGAGAGAGAACAAAAAGACAAACTTTATTTAAGAACAACAAAGGGCAGGAAATTGTGGAGAGTCATAATCAGCAAAGTCTTGAAGGGACACTGCACATAGGAGTAGTATTGTCCTGCAACAACATTTAGAAAATTTTCAACAAGATGTTTAAAGTTTGAATGGTAACTTATGAGAGCAGACTCAATGTATTTTGAAGGAATTGGATGAACGTGATGCACTGCTAAGGAGTTTACTTCAGAGCCATGAATGCTATTTGTTCAAAAACTGGCTTCATTGAAAAATGTTAAATGTAATATTCCCTCTATCACTGGAGGAAAAAATTATAAATTTGATTGTTGCTTATTTCTGATTATTAAAAATTGACAAGTCAGTTGGTTTATTTAAGTGAATTATTTAACGTTGAAATTTATTAAGTCATAAAATTGATTTCTTTTTTTCTTTTTTTTTTTGTTGGGCAATAAAAATAAAATATAAATATTAAATGTAGAGTAATATGAATGAATACAGGAGACAATTATTTTTTTTTTTTTAAATATTTAATCAGAATACAGAATCGCTAAAAAATGAGTATACCATGATAAGCTAATGCCTTTAACTTAATTAAAACAAAATTTTGTCATCATAATCTTTGTTATTATTAAAAGGAAAGACCAGAGGATTTTTTTTTATTAAATTATATTTTTTGATCCCTCCCTATTATTTTTTTTTTTTTTTTTTTTGGTCACTGTGAGGACCAGTTTATTAGAAACAAAGAAAAGTGTACTGAACTATTATGCAATATCAATACTCCTATATAGCAGTGAATGCTGGACAATCTCCACACATATGAAGAAGAGTGTTGTATCCTTAAAGAAGGTTACAAACAGATAAAAGGAAATTCTTTATGGCGAAAAACATACTGATTTCGAAATTCTTGCAAAAATCAAACAATTATTGGAATTTTTAATGAAACTTTTACAAATAAACGATTTTTTTTTTTTTTTTTGTACGTTACCATTCAGATAGGTTATCTCCCTTGAATTTTCACTGGCGTGAAACATTTGGTAAAATGAAAATTCAGCTTAACATTTTCAGTGAAATCAGTTTGCAGGCAATTCAAAAAAATAAATTATCATTTCACCACAAACAATATAATAAAGGAACTAAGAATGATCATGAAAGAATATGAGAAAAAGAAAACATTATTAAGGAGGGAAAACTATAAAAGAACAGATAATGATCGACATTTGCAGGCTGTTATGATTACCTCCACACTGTAGGTAAGTCAGTTGGTAGATTTTTATTAGGGGTTGCAAAAATTCTTTCTCATTGTTGTTTTAATAAAAAAAAAATTGTTTTCCTTTGAAATAAATTTCATCTTGTTTTGTTGTCATCCCTGCAGACATTAATTCTTATTTTAATGAAACCAGATTTGATTTTCAGTACAAGTGCAAAGAATGGCAAGTTGCCCTTAATGTTCTCAACCTGAACGAGAACAATACGGCCAATTCCAAATTATTCTTGGGCAAAAGTTTAAGTCAAAATGTGGTGGAAACAGATCGATCTTCCTCAGCACAAAATGTAAGTTTTTTGGGTTTTTTTTTTTCTTTCATTTCCTCCAAATAACCAGCAAGGTCACTCTGTATTACTCAGGATAAAAATTAATCATTAAGCTGATAGACACTCACTCATCTAAAAAAAAAAAAAAAAAAAAATATATTCTAAAGTCAATAAATATTACTTTTATATTTCTATAACATCTATAACTTAAGTGGATGTGCAGGTGGTGTATTGGATAGCAGCTTGAAATGAGAAATCTGAGAGCCGAGTTCAAATTCCAATCAGTTTTGTTCCATTCACTTATGAGCAAATGCATTTGGGAAAGGTGTGAACTCCCCACCTCTCCACAACTATGGGTTAATTAGTAGAACTTGTACTTAAGAAAAATTATTCTCAAAAAATTACTAATGCAATATTCAATTGCCAAAAAAAAAAAATACATTCTTAGAATCCAAAAATGTTTTGGCTTTAAATAACCCATAAAGGGTTGATAAATAGTAAAATATGAATCAGTCAATCTATAACTGAAAGAAATATTTTGGAAATTCTTTTATGTACAGAATATTTAGCAATAAGGTATTTTAAATAATTTTTAATTCTTGGATGAAGCATTTTCATAATTCCATATATCTGAAACTAGCATATTTGATGGCATATAAGACTCCCACACACACACACACACACACACACACACACACATATATATATATATATATATATATATATATATATATATATATATATATAAACCTATTTATATTTAATACTACAGTATTATATCATTAGGCTATGTATTCTGTAGCATGTGAGTAAACCAAATACCTCAATTTCCTGTATAAGGGTTTTTTTGTTTAGATATGGTGGTGTGTTTTTTCATTAAATGAATTCAGAGAATGTTATTACTACTGGATGTAAAAGCAAGATGGAAGAAAATTGAGTCAAAAATGAATAATAATTGACAAGGCTTCATCTAAGAAATTTAGACAATTTAAGACTATTACTATTTAGTGCAAAAGCAAGAAAAATAAGATGAAAGAAATAAAACAATCTGAGCCTTCATCTAAAAATTAATAACTAAGCTGAACCTTCATCTGAAAAAGAAATCCAGATAAGTTAAGATTATTACCACTTGGTGGAAAAAATGCAAGAGAAAAATGAAAAAGATAAAAGAAATACTAGTGAAAATAAGAGAAATAATAATTGAAAATGGCTTCATCTAAGAAATTCAGACAATTTAAGACTATTACTACTTGGTGGAAAAGAAATACTAGTGAAAAATGAAGAGAAATAAGAAATTCAGACAATGACTAAAGAAAAAATACTAATGAAAGAAATACTAGTGAAAAAAATGAATGATAATTGACAAGGCTTCATTTAAGAAATGAATAATAATTGAGAAGGCTTCATCTTAAGAAATTCAGACAATTTAAGACTATTACTACTTGGTGGAAAAGCAAGAGAAATAAGATGAAAGAAATACTAGTGAAAAATGAATAATTGATGAAGCTTCGTCTAAATATAAATATTTTTGCTTGTATGATTTTAGTATCAAATTTGAATTAGATCTTGTTTTGAAGAAAAATATTTTCATATCATTTATTTTAAAAAATGTTTTTTCTGTTCTTCCAGATTGAAAGTTCCATTAACCTGTTACGAGGCAAAATCTACGAAGCCATGGACAACCGTATTCTTGCCACAGACTATTACCGTGAAGCTCTCAATCAAGATATTTATTGCTTTGAGGCATTTGATCGCCTTGTGGCTCATCACATGTTGTCTGCTGAAGAAGGTAAGACATTTCTTTTCTCCCTCTCCCCTCACTCCCTTTCTCACCCACCTCTCAGCATATGACTACTAAGTCTGTACAACATTTACTTGCCAATATAACATATTTCGTAGGACTAGTTTCAGATAATGTTCTTACCATCTTGAGTTTCTAGTTGAACCACTCATCATGTCTCCAGCTCTTTCAATATTATTGAGGCGGTGATGAAAATTTCTCACCTCAACCTATGTGCCCGGTGGGTGGTGTATAGGTTGAGTTTATCATGTCTTTCATATACTTGGTTTTGTGATGTCAATGAACACTCATTGCCACTTTTGCAATGTCAACAAATACTCGTTGTCACTTTCATAATGCTCATTTTAGTAGAGACTTTGTAATTGTAGATACAAGCTATAGTAACGCCATTGAACAATACTGGTGTCAGACGCCTTCAAATATCACTCACACTAATAGTATTTGCTCAATAATACTCTCTCAAATAGTAATTCGTATAGTGATCCAGAATGAGAAATAGTATAGTGAATAGAGTAGAAATAGCGATCCGGATAGAGTAGAAATGTGATCAATTAGACGCCAAACTACTTTCTACTCATGCATTTCTTCTATGGTCACATGGTCTATAATGGCCTGTTTGCTCACTGGCGATCTATGTTCAAACTCGTGTCACCAGTGACACGTTATTCCTATATAACACTTGGGCTCTGAAGTTTCCAACACTGGCAACCCCTTCACATGGAGATCAACAGAAGATTTGGGCTGGCTGCCGTGATATCTCCTAACACACCAAGCTACAAGTTTACAAAGCCACTGTCCTCTCTGTGCCTACTATATAGTGCTGAGACATAGCCTCTTGGCAAGACACACACCTTTTGAGTCTAGGATAATCAAGTGGGCTACACTGGTCCAATCTTATGTTTAATGTGGAACTCAGCCGGAAAACCGCCCAGCTGAACATTCTCCACACCATCGCTCAATGCCCTCTTTGCTGGCTCAGTCATGTCCTGCAATGACCTGATGTGCACCCTACCAAATGATGATGTATTCTTCTGCCATGTATTATGTATGAGGCAAGTAATATAAGTCAAAACAAGATTAATGAAGATTGTGTCACAATCACAAATCATCAAAGGTCAAGAGTGTAAAAGTGACGGCAATTGTTAGAAAGTTATAATAGTGAGTTTAAGCAAGGTGATCACTTAATAGACAAAGGTATCTGAGTGCCTCACATGAAAGGCTTGAACAAATAAGACTACAATTTAAGAAATGTAAGAGTAAAGGAACTAATTAAAATGTTCATATTTATCAGGGAAGTGATTTTTTTTTTTTTTTTTTTTTTTTTTGTTAATGCTGATAAATATTTTATTTGTTTAGATTATGAAAACGACTAAGTAGTCACTCATAAATTTACTAACTTAAGTTGATTTTCATATATATAAACATTGATAATTATTGTATGGTTTGATGATGATTGATAGTTTTAATATTTGCAATGTTAGTATGTATATCTAATAGTTATTGAAAGTCAATGTATTATCGATTTTAGTTTTAAGATTTGTCCAAATTATTAATCACAAAATTCTTGCCATAACCTTTTTGCCAATTAATTTTATAGTCTTCCTCATCTGTACTGCATCATATTAATCTATTAATGTCCACCATTTTTTTTTAAACCTATAATTTATATTAGATTTTTTTAACCTATAATTAATGTTTTTATAATTTATACCAGTTTAATTTATAGGTTATCGAAATCTGGTATAATTTGTAAGTATTAAAAAAAATTTGGTATAATTTGTAAGCTTTTTTTTTTTTATATTTTTTAATCTGACACGAATCATAATTTTTTTAATCCACTATAAATTATAGATTAAAAAAAACCAAAAAAAAAACAGTGTTAAGTGTAAAAAGAAAAAAGAAAAAAAATAGGTGTTAATTTCAAGTTTAAAAAAAATTTTTTAAAAAAAGCATATTAATTACAGGTTACCACTTAAAACCCATTAATGCCTGCACTTGCAAATATATTTCTAAATATTCAGTATAAATTATAGTTTTTAAAAAAAAATTGATTAAATTTTTTTTTTTTTTGTTGTATAAATTCTAGATTAAAAACATCAGATATCATTTACAGTTTTTCTTTTAGCTTTTAATCCATTAATAATAAAGAAAAAAATATTTTAGAAAGTCTATGTAGCTGTTCATATCTAAAGGAGAAATGAGAAGGTCAATGATCTGTGTCAGATTCAAATAATAAATTGTGGGCATTACTGGGTGGTGGGAAAATTGAAAGAAGTTGTGTATGGTAGTCTTACAAAAAACAAATACACAAGTTAATCCTGTGTGGATTTCTTTACTAAACAAGGAAATGGTGGGCGAGTAACCATATTACGCCCATTCCAAGACTTGGAATGATGAGTTTGTCTATCACCATTGTTCTTCTTTCCATAACATTTAAGAAAAAAAAAATCCTGTTCTTTACTGGGCATACAGGTAGTGTAACGGATAACGGTTTGAATTGAAAATTGAAGAGTCAAGTTCCAATCGGGTTCATTATATTCGCTTACATGCAAATACCCTTGGCAAAGATATAAATCAACCTTTTCTTTGCCAGCTATAGGTTAATTAATAGGACTTGTATCATTAAATCATAATTTTCAAAAAATTCTTACACTCTAAAAAAACTATTTTTTGGCTTTAAATAACCTGTAAAAGGTTGATAAGCCATAAAAAAAAACAATCATACCACGTCTTTTATTCAAATTACACAGCTCATTATCATAACTACTTTAACAGTAACCCTTTACACTCCAACCTTCTCCTCTTCATTAAGAGTTGATCGTTATCTATCCTGCTTGTCTTCACTTCCTACCATCTCCTCTTTCATTCCTGTCACACCTCATTCACCTCATTCACCTCTTCATGTCAAGGGTCAATTGTTTTTAATCCTCATAATCTTGTAACCTCCCTTTATACACATTCATCAATCTTAACCTCTTCATGTCAAGGGTCAGTCTTCACATCTTACCACCACTTCTTTTATTAATATCACACATCCCATTCACCATAGCCATTTTAATAATAACCCTCTACCTTTTAAGTGTTTATGTAGTTTTGTATTGAGCAAATCCTAGTATTTAAAAAGAAATAAACAATAATTGCAAAATTACAGAAGCGTTACAAAACAAAACAAAAAATGTTAATGTTACATTTTGTTTCCTTTCAGAGAAACACTTGTTAGAATCTTTGCCTTATAATAACCAATGTCCCGTGGAAGAACGAGAACTTGTCAAGTTTCTTTATGAAAACAGATTGAAAAAGGTTTGTATCGACATAATATGGACACTGGGTTTTTCTGCTTGGCTATTTAGCCACTTCTTACAGGCAGGCACCATGAGAAATTTAAGAAATTTAATTTTTTCTCAATGGCTAATGAAATATCTAGCCAGTGATTTCTTTGTCTTGGAGCAGATGACATGAATGCATTTGACAGGTATTTATAATCGATTGAAAATTGTCTAATTTAATTTCTCTCTATTGCTAACAAACTATACAGGCAGCTCCGTGTGTAGTGATCTGAAGGTTCTCATGAGTGAAGAGGTCAGCTGACCAAAACTCTAATGAGTTTTGGCCAGCAGCAGGTTAAATCTGTAAATGGGACTGAACTACTGGCAGTATATGAATAACTATAATCCACAAAGGGTTGCTAAGCCATAAAAAATAAATTGTGTACAGTTGCATAAAAAGTATTTATCCTGTTTTGTTTATTCTTCCAGGATTGTATGTATAAAAAGTAGTGGAAATTTGCTCTGAAATTTTTTAATAATGATGAATCTTTGTTGTTGATATTCACTGCTTAAGTGCATTGATAAAAAATATTGTGTTGTCAAAAAATATCTAAAATAAATGCCTTTTATTTAATTTTGTCATCCTTTAGCTGTGGACATATTGTTTTACATATATGTTTAAGACAAAAGGAAAACTTAGCCGGCATGTTTCGTCATCTGATGGATTTTACAAGGCAAATTTAAGGATTTTATTTTGCAACAAGTATTTATATGCAGAAGTAATAATGGTGCCAGTTTTTCATAATTTTTAAATTTCAGAGCGTTCTTAAATTTATAAAAGAATTTGGAAAACTAATGGCATAATAAATACATGTTGCAAAATAAAATCCTTAAATTTTCCTTGATAAAGTCCATCAGAGGACAAAACGTGTCTACTAAGATAAGTTTTCTTTTTGTCTTTATTCATATTTTCTTTTAAAGAATCTCAAATCTGAAATTTCCTACTTCACTGCCCAATGAAGACAAAAATGTATTGTCAATAAGGTTTTACACTTTGTCTGGTATATGTGTGTGTGATTGGAATTTTTCATTTCTAATGTGCAATTATTTAATTTCAATTAATTTATTTTTAATGTTTAGTACAATAAACCTGGCCAAGTTGAAATCCCTCCCCAATTGGACATCCTCAGTACGAATCTAGATGTTGAAGTCAATTTGGCTGAGAGACATTACTATAACTGTGACTTCCGTGAATGTTATAACATTACACATGGGTAAGTGGTTTCTTTCTTTTTGTTTTTTTTTAAGCCCCTCCCCCACTCTCACTTTCTGCAGGGCTTGTAAAACATATTTGTTTTCTAAACATTATCATATCTATATTTACATAAATAAAATTTATTATCTTGACTTTTTTTTTTTTTTTTTTTTGAAAGTCTCTCTCTACAATCTGTGCATGGACATCTTGCCTGCAAAAAGGATTATTGGATTATTATTATTACTAAAATTCTAATCTTGTATTAAAACTTAAGATTCCCCTTGTGAATAGACATTTGTTTTATTACTTTTCGAATTTTAATGGATGAAGTCCACATTTGTGCTGAACAAATAAAATTTGAATTTTGTTTTTCTCTTCTCATCCTCTTCCTCTCCACCTCTTCTCCTCTCTTTTTTTCTTCTCTCTCGCTTTTTTCTTCTCTCTCTCTTTCTCTCTCTCTCTCTCTCCTCTTTTCTTCTCTCTCTCTCTCCTTCTCTCTCTCTCCTTCTTCTCTCTCTCTCTCTTCTCTTTCTCTCTCTCTCCTTCTCTCTCTCTCTTCTCTCTCTCTCTCTCTCTCTCTCTCCTCTCTCTCCTTCTCCCTCTCTCTCTCTCTCTCTCTCCTTCTCTCCTTCTCTCTCTCTCTCCTTCTTCTCTCTCTCTCCTTCTCTCTCTCTCTTCTCTCTCCTCTCTCTCTCTCTCTCTCTCTCTCTCTCTCCTCTCTCTCTCTCTCTCTCTCTCTCTCTCTCTCTCTCTCTCTCCTCTCTCTCTCTCCTTCTCTCTCTCTCTCTCCTTCTCTCTCTCTCTCTCCTTCTCTCTCTTTTTTCTTCTCTACCCTCCTCTCCCCATCCTTGAATTAAAGTACCAAGCTCTGTTCCATCTTCAAGCGATTTTTTTTTTTTTTTTTTGAATAACTTATTCCTCAAATTTACGCGTTTTATAAGCATATTCATTATTGAAATTAAAATTACTATGGTAATGGCTAGAGCAATTGTTTAAAGTAAAGGGGTGTAAGGGTTAATAATTTGTATCAATATCTCGGTTACATTCAAAGACATCAAGTCAGGGTAAGGTTGGGGTGTCTAAATTTAAAGAGGAAGATGACATCGTCTAGTCTGGTTAAGTGTCTATGGAGATTTATTTATTTTTTATTTTTTTTTCTGAAAGGGTTTTGTGTATAAATCATAAGCCGCTAACATTTCACTATATATATATATATATATATATATATATATATAGTGAATGGCATTTCCCTTGCCAATTATAAATGTCCCCATATTATCTGTGAATTATCATCAGTTCTTGGTAAAGATAATGGAGTGATTCCCAATTGCTTTCTCACTGAATTCAAAGTAGTCTTTCTCCTAGACTGACTTACCACCCAAGGCTGGAGAGCCCAGTCTGTCCTGTTATTTAATCCATAGCTATGGTGAGCAGAAATGGATTCCTGCTTTTTCCAAGGATAGTAGTGTGAAATAAATGCATCAGACAAGACCAGAACTTGAAGACCATTCACCAATCCCAGTTTCTACTACCCACACTTCCAGAATTTAGCAGAACCAATGCGAGACCAGAGCTCTTTCAATAGCAGGAAATGTCATCTTTTAGTCAGGCCTGAACTTAGATCTCTATCATGATTTTCTAGAAAAAGAATAAAGATATTTGCAATAAAGATATCAGTTTACAAGAAACAAAATCCTTCATCCAAAGTTCGCATGATTTTATTTAATAAATGCGGTGAATGGAAGCCGCAGTATTGCACATAAGGTTTTTTCTTTTTAATCCTTTGAAAAATTGGTGCTACTATAGTAGGATATCTACCAAGGTATTTACAACCTATGTACCATAAATGACGCATTATTGCTAGAAAATATTCAAGAAAAACAATGACCTGTTTACTGTTTTTTTTTGTTTTTTTGTTTTTTTTATGACATCAGATCATTTTTACAAACATTAAAATGACTATTTGATGATTTTTAAATTTTTATTTTTAATCTTTTTTTTTTTTTTTTTTTTTTTTTTTTTGCATAAAAAAAAACTGTTAATGATTTTTAATACATAACCAGTTCAGCCTTTAATCCTGACCCCAACATATTTCATACTTCCAGCAGTTAGTAAATATCATGCTATAGTAGAAAATGGACAGTAAAAATTTACATTACTTTCACTAATTTCACTTTTTAATGGCAATTAAATAATTTTTCTTTTCTGCATATAAAAATGTTAAAACGCTTTTTTGTCCATTTCATTTTCAGTGTCCTGAAGAAAGATCCTTACAATAGCCTGTGTCTTCCCTTGCATATTGCTGTCTTAGTTGAATTAAAGAAATCAAATGGTAAGTAAATAAAAATCAGGTAGCATGTTTTGAAGCCCCACCCAGCCCCTGGTAAAGGTCAGTGGCACTTCTGGGCCTGTCCCACCATCAGAGAAAGGACGGTGACACTTCACTTCTGGGCCTGTCCCACCTTTCTCTCTTTTCTCTCTCTCATTCTATGAGGGTGATTGGGGCTTTCAGCTAAATATTGTCTACAATGTAATTTGGAAAAGATATTAAAATAATCTGTAACTAACATTGCTGCGAACAAACTAACTCCTTCTGGTATGATGTCACCTTAACTGTATGTCAACTTGATAAGGAGCTGAGCACCGCTGTGACAATAGGATCAATTAATCTTGAATATTCTGGGATTTATACTCTTCAAGCTTTGAAAATTTGCATTTTTGGGGCTGCGAGATCTTTCCTAGAATCTGTATAAATAAATATTTTTAGTACCTGAGATAATTACATATTTACCATTTGCCACCTGTGGTCACATCTAGAAATGTTGTGACTATAACAAGCAAGATTAGGATAACAGTTTGAATAAATCTTTGTATTATAATAATAATAATAATTTCTCATATTGGAAATTCAAACAGAATTTGTTTTTTGTTTTTGTAGAATTGTTTTATCTGTCTCACAAGCTGGTAGATTTGTATCCAAGTAAGCCGGTAAGTACTAAATAGAAATAACATTTATTTCCCCATTAAATGACACTGTTGGATGTTTGGTAATTGTTTTTTTTTTTTCAAAATGGGTGGTTGTTTATTTATAATGCTCCTGGGATTTAAATTTCTTTTCATGTTTTTCAAAGTGAATGTCTCAGTATGCTGACAGCCTGAAGTCAATTAATTCCTTTTGTTAAACTATCTGCATTCCTATAATCTTGAATTTGTTTCTTCTCCATGCAGAAATTGCAATTTCTGTCGGTGTGTCTTTATTTTATTTTATATTAAAAAGCTCTTTTAAAAGCATTTAAAATAGAGCACTCTTAAATATTTTTACTCTAATTGTTTGAATAAGCTTTCCTATTTAAGCACAGTACTAGTTTGGTAGTTAGGTCTCATTATTTTACTGTTGAAATTGCTACTTGTAACCATAAGTTCTATGCTAATATTTTCTTCTCCCACACTTCTTGCTTGTGAAACTCTTTCAGCTTCCTGCTTTATTCACAATGATGAGCTTCAAAATGTTTTTTCCTTTCAAATTGGACAGAAAAAAATCTACATTTAATATATTTTTAGTGCAATTTTTTTAAAATTCATTCCCTTGCTGTTTGTCAGAAGAGGTTTTTTTTTATTAAATAAAGACATGATTGAAGAATTTAAAAATATAAAGTTTAATAGCATTTTTGAGCATGAAACATTTAAAAAAATTTTTTTTTTTTTTTTTGCAACTGTTAAATTATTTTTCTTATGGATGCTCAAAAAAAATTTTTAAATTACTGCCTTTGACTACTTTTTCCTATCAGAAGAGTAATATAATATATGATAATTTAATAACTTTTACATTCAGAATAACTTTAAAAAAAAAAAAAAAAACCCACATTGGGTGCAATTACATATTTTACAAACTCAAACCAGTACGAAAATAAGAAAAAAACAAAAGCAATGTCAAAAGTCTTAATTAATTTTAAAAAAATACTTCTAATCTAGTATAAAAAATAGTTATTCATTCTACTAAGTTTCATAATATCATGTAGAATAAAAAAAAAAATGATATACTTAAACTATTTGTTATATAAGGTGAAAGATAATATATTTTTAAACATAAATACCAATGTCTTTATTTCACCACTGGTGTTCCATATTTCTTTAATTTTTATTTTTAATTTTTCACACACTTTTTAAGTTGGTGGTTGGGGGTGTAATTATACATTTTTTATTCTTGATTTTTGGCCCCACAGGCTACCATGTGTAAATAAATGTTGTTTTCATTAAGTTTTAAATAAAAAGTAAACATTTACAAAATCCACTTGATTAATCCTTAAATGACTTTGAAACATCTTTAAGATAAATATTGGATTTTTAAGAGATTTTTAAATTCATTGTTTACATTTTTCACCTTTAATGTCAGTTTGAGTCAATGAATGAGAAAAGATGCCAATGTTTTAAAAGTGTCTAAAAACTTTATATATGGAAATTAATATTTTTAATATGGATTAGCTTTCAAGTAGAACCGACATTTAAGTTAAAAGAAGGCATGTAAATGATTTAAAATGCATTTTTCGGACTGGGGGTATGTTTAAGAAATCCATGTTAGTTCCTAATATTTATCATATTTACTGGTATATTAGATTCAAATTTACATAAGTAAAATTATACAAATATTATGTTGCAATCAATATATTATTATAAAATCCAAATGTACATATCAGTGTGTGTATATATATAAATATATACTATGTATTTCCACTCAGGTTGCCTGGTTTTCTGTTGGATGTTATTATCTCTTAATTAATAACTATGAGCCTGCAAGACGATATCTGACGTAAGTAAATCATTCATTTGTTATTTTGTATTTAGTTTATTTATATTTGACCATAAAATTTTTATTATTTTTTACATAGAAAAAAAAAGTGATGCTTGATTATCTCCCTTGTTACAATTCCAAATGAAATCGTCCATTTTGTTTGGTAAGAGTGAGCATTTTAATATAATTCTTTAAAATAACTGTACAGCACAAATTTTCAGTAATATTGCATGTAATTGATTTATTTTTAATTTCTTTGCCTTATTAAACTTTCTTAAATTTAATATTTTTTCTTGTATTTTTAAACTTTTAAAATGTCTCTCATCAAGTTGTTGCTATTTAAATAACTGTATTATGATCAACATTTTTTTTATTTATTGAACATTGAAGCAGTATCAGTTGTTATTAATTTTTTTTTTAACTTTTATTTTTTCCACTTATTTCTCTTGCTTTTTATACCGAGTAGTAATAGTCTTAAGCTGTCTACATTTTACATAAGATGAAAAATTGCTAATTGTTATCAATTTTACACTAGTATTTCTTTAATTTTAATTATTTTTATCCTGAAAGTGGATCATCGTTCACCAATAGTAAGTGGTACAGATCAGAAATAAATACTAAAACTTTAACTCTCATCTTTTATCCTTGGGATCTTACATTTTTGTGAAACTATTTTGAGAAGACATAAAGGCTCACCAGTAACAGTTTATCCAGATTTAGCCCTATAACACCTACTAGTTACCTCCTCCTTTGTATTCTAATTGATAATGCAGTATTATCTACTTTGCAGCCAAGATGGGCATTTCCCAGAGGTCAGTGTTCAAACCCAAGCTAATGCTACATTTTTTTTGTTTTGTATTTTTTTTTTTTTTAATACTAATTTTCTAAATAGGTATCCCTCCCAACTTTGAGGATTGACATACCACACTCTTCCTTTCTACTAAATTTAGTAAAATATTCAGAGTAGACATGAATGAAAACCGTTTGAACATTTTGAGATGATTTACCTGTTATACTGTTAACAAAGACATTATTGCCATTGATTAGAATTTTCAGTGCTGAACCTGATTGGTCTGAAAATTTTGCAGTCATCTAAAGCTTGGGAAACAATGAGTAGAATATGTCTGTGAGGTTAATGATTATTGGTTTACATTTGTGTGGAATATGATTTTGGATTTAATGTGGTCTTTGGTGTTTTGTGAGTTTACAGGTGATTATCTTTGGATAACGTCCTTAATCCAAATATAAACCAATATTTTGGCCTTGTAAAAATGAATGAAAAAATAATTAGAACAAAGATATATTTTGCATGTAAAGATAAAATTTGATATATCTTAAAACCTACAAAATTTGAAGAATTCATATCAGAAGGTTCCTGTGTTGAACAAGTCCTTTAGCCGATTTATAAGAGAGAGAGAGAGAGAGTCTGATGTTAATGTGTATATATGTATATATTCAGCTGACAGTAGTAATCTTGACTTGCTGTTGATTTAAGGGTCCAGGTAAAATAAATTATGGGAGAACGAACAGAATTTATTCATCAACTCTCTGGTTGTCTCTGTGTTTATAAACTTTTCTGAGACAAAAGAATTCATTTCAGAATTGTCTCTTCTTTTCTGATTGGTTCATTGGTGACTCATTTGACAAACCCTTTTAGTCACCTACATTTAGGAAAGATGAACTTTTGGTCCCTTCATTTCTTTTTTTTTTTTTTTCTTTTATTTCTTTTTGTTTTATTTCTTTATGACAAACCAAAATAGTTCTGTACTTTTTTGAAATGTTTATTTTTCTATCACTACATGTTCCATGCTTTGAAAATGATATGAAAGACATTCAGGACAAACACAAGAAGATAGGTTATGTTTGAATGTTGAAGGAGTTGCAAAAACTATCCTGATTGGTTAGATTTGCCTAGGGAAATGGAGATTCAACTGTGTTTTGTTTTATATTAGGTTTCACGTCAGCTTTTACATGTTAGGTGTCATGTCAGCTTCTAATAAAATTTGTTCCAAATACAGTGTTATTTTTTTTTTTTCTTCTGCATATGAGTTTTATTTAACTCTGTAATATTGCCTCATAGTCTGAGTGAATGAGAAAGACAAACTAGTTGAAACAGGTATTTATAAGGTGGTACTGAAAAGTTCTCGGCCCAACCAAAAACAGATTCCAACACAAATTCTGATATTTACCAAAAGAAAAAGAAAGTGAATGAAATTAATGTGTGTGTGTGTGTGTCAGTTTCAGTCCTTGAAAAGTCTTGGAATTTTTTTTTACACAGATCTGTGGGAACCCTGTAGATACCAATTGACTTTTGTCTTGAAGAAGTTATGATTATAATGTTCAAGTAGTAACCACAATTTTTTTTTTTTTTTCCTCTAGCAAAGCGACCACATTAGATCGAATGTATGGCCCGGCATGGTTAGCCTATGGTCACTCTTTTGCTGTGGATCAAGAGCATGACCAGGCAATGGCTGCTTATTTCACTGCCTCCCAGCTGATGAAAGGGTGAGTACATTGAAAGAACCAATGTGATTTCATGACCATTATAGAGAAGTCAGTGTGCCATAGCATTTACTTTTTTTCTCTCTTTCTCTTTGTGATTAAAGAACAAATTATTTACCAATATGTGAGCCATACAATTGGTTGTAATTGTCAAATTTCATGGCACTGCAACCAGATATCTTTTCTTTTTTTCATGTTACTGTAAATTAAACTCTCCAGATGATATTTTTAAAAAAAGTATATATAAAAAAAAAAAAAAAAAAAGTATGCAATGTATCGGGTTACCTCCTCCTAATTTTAGAAAACACTACTGGGAGACGCTCTCAGGACTATAAATATTCAGCGATATTTCTTCTCGCACTCTTCTCACTTAATCTGCTTATTTGTCAACATGTAACTTCTCGTGAAGAATGCGTTCCCTTTGAGAAACGCATGAACAAACCACATACACACAACACGCGTACATACACACATTCACTTCCACATTCATTTCTTATACACACATCTTTGTCAAAAGTAACCCATTATTGTTAATACATTATCATTTGTTTATATATATATATATATATATATATATATATATATATATATATATATTGGTTCTTGTTCTTGTTCTTTTCATCTTTTTATATGGACTCATATCCCAAGTCTGCCATGTTTGTTGTGGCCATTTCAGGAGACACACATGGTTATACATACATCACCCCAAAACAAATGTAAATTTATCCCCTCTAGAGAAACTGAAACAATATGTTCGTTCAACTTGATTTCTTAAACTGAAAAACTTTTTTAAAATTTGAAATTCATGGTCTCTTCTCAAACTTCATATATGACTATCAATTAAGACTTCAGATTACGAAATTTAAAAAAAAAAATCTTTATATGTTTTTTTTTTTTTTTTTTTTTTTTACAATTTAAGAAATCATGTGAGAAGAGCATATTTATTTTGGCTTCCATAAGGGGTGGGGGGGATTAATTTACAAGAAATTTACATAGCAAACTGTACTTCTCTCCCTATTAACTTTTTTTTTTTTTTATGGTCTGGAGTGTTTAATCTATAGCAGAACAACATGAAAGGATTCTTAGAACACAATTATTTCTGATCCCAGTGCTGCCATTTTTCCAAACCAAATTTCTTTTCTCTTTCTCATACTAACAAAAAATACTTGACATTAAATAAGCAAGAAAGAAATATCAAAAAAATATCAAAAACTGAACTCACATAAACTATATATATATATATATATATATATATATATATATATATATATATATATATATTCATTCGAAAATTATAACATAAATATGTTATAAAATCACTCTAAAAATAGCCATTTTGTTTCAACACTTCTGGTGACTTATCAAGTGATGACGTTGAATGTAGAATAAAGGATTGATTTGAACCTTTTAAAACCCTTTATTCTACATTCAACATCATCACTTGATAAGACAAAAGAAGTGTTGAAACAAAAAAAACTCCAATAACCAACAAATACTATTCTTAAAATAGTGCTCAATAGAGTAGAGCAAATATAATTATTTATTCAAAAATTATAACATAAATGTCATAAAAAAATCACTAAAAAAAAAAAATAGCCATTTTGTTTCAACACTTCTTTCGTCTTATCAAGTGAGTTTCATACCACAGAACTTGTAAATAGTTTTGAGCAGACAAACTCACATTTTTTCGGCCAACACCTCATCAGAAGAATCATTGGCATCTTAGTGAGTCTTGATTTTCCTTTTTATGCTCACTGGAACTATTTATTCTGGTTTCTGCCATTTTTTTCTTCCGCTCTTTCTATTTTTTTTTTTCTTCCATTTTAATATTAAATTGTATTGTTTCTCGTATCCTCTGCAAATCTTGTTAACATTTTACTAAGCAATCCAGTGATTCTTTTGTGATTTTTGTCTGTTCAAATATTTATATATAAATAAATGTAAAAGACAATAGGAAAACTGTAATAGTTGCCGACACGTTTCATCCGATGTCGAGTTTCTCAAGGCAAAACAAAATGAATTTATTTAACAAAGTAACTAATAATAACAAAACAAAATGTCCTTAGCAACTGGAAGAATTTAGAGAACGCTATTTTCATACTGTTAACTGAAATTACATCATTTACTGTCACGTGTCATGTCTTTATTGCTGTATTGACGGATTCAACCATTTTCTTTTGATTTCTTGATACTGTTCTGTACGTGTGTTTGGGAGAGAAGTAATTCTGTTAAGAAAGGTGAAATAGAGAAAAAACCTGGGCGTAGATTAATATTTGGCAGCACTCTTGAGGATTCTCCTTCTGAGTGAGTTATTTTCTTTTTTTATGAGTGTGTGTTATTTTTAAAATCAAAATTATGGTTGAATTTATTTCTATGTATGACTAGTGCATTAGCTAAGTTGTTTTTTGTGAGGTCTCTTTTGTGCTTATAAATGTGTTTTTTTAAATTTCTACTTGTTTCTCCAATATATTGGTAGGAACAGTTTTGGCAATTTATTTTATAAATGCCTGCTTCAGAAATATTGTCTTTTTCTACAGGTTAACTGAAATTATATATATATATATATATATATACACACACACACACACACACACTTTTTTCTTCACCGATAGCACAATTCTGAGTTTCATGCACCTGACAATTGCATCATGCATGAAACTCAATTGTGCTACTAATGAAGGGGAAAAAAAACAAAAAAAATCTATATTTATTATACATTAACCACTATTTTATTAGCACCAACACTCAATGTACAATATTTATTTATATATATATATATATATATACATGTTCTTATATTTGGTTTCATCTATATCATCAACGATATGATTTGTGCATGCTTATAACATAAGCTGTTTGTTGTTCTAGTTGTCACCTTCCTGTGCTCTACATTGGCCTTGAATATGGATTGACCAACAATTCCAAATTGGCAGAACGATTCTTCAGCCAAGCCCTGACAATTGCACCTGAAGACCCTTTCGTTTTACATGAGATGGGAGTGATAGCCTTCCAAAATCAAGAGTAAGTAAATTTGAGCCGACTTTTCCCAGTCAAGATTTTTTCTTTTTTCACTAAAAATATTTAATTGAAAAAAAATTGTATCTAAATGGAGAAAATGATGTAATAGCAGCAAAGCCGGGGGGGGGGGTCAAGTAAATTACTTGTTTTTGACAAGGACCAATTTTTCACTGAAGCCTTTCTGATCAAGTTTATTAAATAGGAAATATTTTTATTTATATTTAAACAGATGCCCAAATCATCATTTTTATCAATTCTTGTCAAATCCAGACAGTACACTTATTTTTTAGTATAAGTTAAAGGACATTTTTAGATTTTAGAAAAAAATATTTGTCATGAAGGAGATTCTATTTATAAAATATTTGGTATTGACTTTCACCAATTTTGTCTGCAAAAAGTTTAAAGATTTCCTTTTGTATTATTTGCAAATATTTACTAAATTTAACTTGTTTAAATTTAATTTGACCAAAAAGATATATAGTTAATTTAAAATTTTACAGTTTCTCCTATTTCTAACCATTTTTTTTGGTTTTTAAATTCTTTATTTTTTCTTTTAAAGTTTTTAATGATGCAACTAATTTTTCTAAAATAATTACCAAGTTTATTTAGTCACAACCTTTTTTAGGTATAAAATATAAAAGTCTCCTGGGTTAATTAATAAATAAATAGAATGGCACCTAAGTCAAAGTTTAAAGAAAAAAAAAAAGAATAGGTTGACATAGGTCAGGTTCCTTCTTCAAGTCTTGGCAACTCTTGTGATGGAGGGAGGAGGGTTATTTAATCTTCTTCAAGGAATGTAGAGGGCATAATCTAAACATTTACTAAAAGTAGTTGCTTTATTCTCTTTAATAATTTGTTTGGAGGAATCTGTTATTTTATTTGATAAGTGGACTTTCAAGGAGAATATAAAAATTTTGTTGCAGTTAGGCTTGATTGAATTTAAATTTTTCAAAAAAAAACAAATCCTAGGCCATTTCCAAAAGCAGTTTTTGCTTCAAGCAACAAACCAAATTTGGTTACTTTTGACAATTTATTTTTTGCCCCCAAATTTTTTTTTATTTTTTCACTTCTTGCCTCCAATCTCTTTTATGATGATTAAAGTGAATTTTTACTTGTTTTGTTTTTGTTTTGTTTTTTTTGTGTGTGTGTGTTTTTATTGTTTTTTTTGCATAAGCATGCCTTCTGTATTCCACTTTGATACTACTTAGAATGTTGCACATAAACAATTAGTTTATTAAACATTTACAGATTACAAAACATTACCCAAGATTTTAATCTCCAAAATAAAATAATCTGTATGCAGTGGTGGTCTGGAAATATTTGTTACCAGGAGACAAAGTGGTGTCCCACCCACAACTACAATGCTATCATTTCATTTTCATGACAAATAAATATAATTTTCAACAAAGTGCATATGGCAAAAAGGGTACAATTAAAATTTTGTGGGGGAAAATATGTATTTCTTAGCAATTACAGTGTCCATGTACTGTATACGTTCCTGGCACTTGATAGCAAATGTAAATATAGAATTTTATAATGAAAGGTTTTACTTAAAATTACAAAAAAAAAAACAAATCATTGGTTGATAATTTAAAATAGTTTACTGAACAATTGGCATATTAACAAATAGATCATTGCATGTAATCCATTATATTAAGAACAATCATTTGTGTTCCTTTCCAATGGATAGCAACATATATGATTCCAAATTCTTCTCAAAATTCCATCTACTTCCGAACATCATGGGTTATAGTCAAGGAATCTTAATTTAAAGTAATTTTTTGATATTTTTTAAATACTTTACTGCACAAATGACACATTATGAGAGAGTTCTAAATCACAATAGATCAATGTATGTAGTCCACTATATTAAGAGTAATCATTTGTGTTCACGAGATGATTGTTCAAATCTGTCAATAATTGTTTCTGTATCCAATTCATCTAACAATTCCTTTCCCACAATGGATAGCAACATATATAATTCCAAATTCTCCTCAGACAATGAATTTCTTAACCTTGTCTTTATGATCTTTAGCTTTGAAAATGTCCTCTCCCATTGGACTTAAGAGTAACTGATAGTGTGAAGATGAACTTTCCAATGGATAGCAACATATATAATTCCAAATTCTCCTCAGACAATGAATTTCTTAACCTTGTCTTTATGATCTTTAGCTTTGAAAATGTCCTCTCCCATTGGACTTAAGAGTAACTGATAGTGTGAAGATGAACTTTCAATGGATAGCAAGATATATAATTCCAAATTCTCCTCAGACAATGAATTTCTTAACCTTGTCTTTTGATCTTTAGCTTTGAAAAATTGGACTTGTTTGGGTATGCAGTTTATAAAATTCTTATTCCTTTTTATTACTAAAACAGTTGTTTGTGTTTGTTTCTTTATTGCATTTTTATTTGATATAGGGGGTCCTCTTGCCATCGGGCAAGCTGACTCCTTGGCCAATCTGCCACTGATTGTATAACTTCAGATAACGTATGTTTTTCTTTGTTCTCTTCCGTCTTTGCTTTTAGCTACATGACTGCTGAGCAATATTTTCTTGACGCTCTCGAGAAAGTGAGATGTGTGAGTAACCAGATAACCATTGAGAAGTGGGAGACTCTACATAACAATCTTGGCCACACCTGCCGCAAACTCAAGTACGTATCTCTTAACAAGTGTTAAGGTGAATGAGCATGATGGGGTTGCTACATGCCCCAGGTGACAGGGTAACTGCTGTGGCACATTAACAACAGTGTTCATTAAACAGCAATAAAGATGAGGCTAGTTAAAAAGTCATTATCTAAAATTTATCTTCAAAGCCTTGGTCAGATATTAACAAAATAAGAATTACAAAAAGTAATCTGCAATATTACTGGTCCTGACTTGGTTTCATTTTCTTTTATATTACCAAGAAATGGAAAATATTAAAATTTTATAAAACAAATGTTTTTTTTTTCCCCCCTCTCTTTCTCTTCCAAACAGGAAGTATAAAGAAGCCCTCCAATACCACGAATATGCACTTACTCTTTGTCCCCTGACACCATCTACGTATTCGGCAATTGGTTATGTTTATGTTCTGATGGGACAAAGCCTAAAAGCTGTTGATTATTTCCACAAGGTAAGAAAAATACAAACCAAATTTTCATTGTAAATTAATAATTTTTCACTGTTTCCCCTCAAGTATTAATAGTCTTAAATTGTCTGAATTTCTTAGATGAAGCCTTGTCAATTATTATTCATTTTTCACTAGTATTTCTTTCATCTTATTTCTCTTGCTTTTCCACAAAGTAGTAATAGTCTTAAATTGTCTGAATTTCTTAGATGAAGCCTTGTCAATTATTATTCATTTTTCACTAGTATTTCTTTCATCTTATTTCTCTTGCTTTTCACAAAGTAGTAATAGTCTTAAGTTGTCTGAATTTCTTAGATGAAGCCTTGTCAATTATTATTCATTTTCACTAGTATATTTTCATCTTATTTTCTTGCTTTTCCACAAAGTAGTAATAGTCTTAAGTTGTCTGAATTTCTTAGATGAAGCCTTGTCAATTATTATTCAATAGTATTTCTTTCATCTTATTTCTCTTGTCTGTAATAGTCTTAAGTTTCTTAGATGAAGCCTTGTCAATTATTATTCATTTTCACTAGTATTTCTTTCATCTTATTTTTTGCTTTTCACGAAGTAGTAATAGTCTTAAGTTTTCTGAATTTCTTAGATGAAGCCTTGTCAATTATTATTCATTTTTTCACTAGTATTTCTTTCATCTTTTTCTCTTGCTTTTCCACAAAGTAGTAATAGTCTTAAGTTGTCTGAATTTCTTAGATGAAGCCTTGTCAATTATTATTCATTTTTTTCACTAGTATTTCTTTCATCTTATTTCTCTTGCTTTTCCACAAAGTAATAGTCTTAAGTTGTCTGAATTTCTTAGATGAAGCCTTGTCAATTATTATTCATTTTTCACTAGTATTTCTTTCATCTTATTTCTCTTTCTGTAATAGTCTTAAGTTGTCTGAATTTCTTAGATGAAGCCTTGTCAATTATTATTCATTTTTCACTAGTATTTCTTTCATCTTATTTTCTTGCTTTTCACGAAGTAGTAATAGTCTTAAGTTGTCTGAATTTCTTAGATGAAGTCTTGTCAATTATTATTCATTTTTCACTAGTATTTCTTTTCATCTTATTTCTCTTGCTTTTCCAAAGTAGTAATAGTCTTAAGTTGTCTGAATTTCTTAGATGAAGCCTTGTCAATTATTATTCATTTTTCACTAGTATTTCTTTCATCTTATTTCTCTTGCTTTTCCATGAAGTAGTAATAGTCTTAAGTTGTCTGAATTTCTTAGATGAAGCCTTGTCAATTATTATTCATTTTTCACTAGTATTTCTTTCATCTTATTTCTCTTGCTTTTCCACCAAGTCTTAAGTTGTCTGAATTTCTTAGATGAAGCCTTGTCAATTATTATTCATTTTTCACTAGTATTTCTTTCATCTTATTTTCTTAATAGTTGTCTTAGATGTTGTCAATTATTATTCATTTTTCACTAGTATTTCTTTCATCTTATTTCTCTTGCTTTTCCACCAAGTAGTAATTCTTTTTCTGAATTTCTTAGATGAAGCCTTGTCAATTATTATTCATTTTTCACTAGTATTTCTTTCATCTTATTTCTCTTGCTTTTTAATAGTCTTAAGTTGTCTGAATTTTTAGATGAAGCCTCAATTATTATTCATTTTTCACTAGTATTTCTTTCATCTTATTTCTCTTGCTTTTCCACCAAGTAGTAATAGTCTTAAGTTGTCTGAATTTCTTAGATGAAGCCTTGTCAATTATTATTCATTTTTTCACTAGTATTTCTTTCATCTTATTTCTCTTGCTTTTCCACCAAGTAGTAATAGTCTTATTGTCTGAATTTCTTAGATGAAGCCTTATCAATTATTATTCATTTTCACTTTTCTTTTTCATCTTATTTCTCTTGCTTTTCCACCAAGTAGTAATAGTCTTAAGTTGTCTGAATTTCTTAGATGAAGCCTTGTCATTATTATTCATTTTTCACTAGTATTTCTTTCATCTTATTTCTCTTGCTTTTTTAGTAATAGTCTTAAGTTGTCTGAATTTCTTAGATGAAGCCTTGTCAATTATTATTCATTTTCACTAGTATTTCTTTCATCTTATTTCTCTTGCTTTTTAGTAATAGTCTTAAGTTGTCTGAATTTTTAGATAAGCCTTGTCAATTATTATTCATTTTTTTCTTATTTCTCTTGCTTTTCCACCAAGTAGTTAGTCTTAAGTTGTCTGAATTTCTTAGATGAAGCCTTTCAATTATTATTCATTTTTCACTAGTATTTCTTTCATCTGTTTTTTTTATTTTTCCACCAAATTTCTTTTTTAATTTCTTAGATCTTGTCAAAATTCATTTTTCACTAGTATTCAATTTTCTCTTGCTTTTTCCACCAAGTAGTAATAGTCTTAAGTTGTCTGAATTTCTTAGATAAACCTTATCAATTATTATTCATTTTTTTAGTATTTCTTTTTCATCTTATTTTTTGCTTTTCCACCAAGTAGTAATAGTTTAAATTGTCTGAATTTTTAGATGAAGCCTTGTCAATTATTATTCATTTTCACTAATTTCTTTCATCTTTTTTAGTCTTAAATTGTCTGAATTTTTAGATGAAGCCTTTAATTATTCATTTTCATTTCTTTTCATCTTATTTTCTTGATTAATATCTTTCTGAATTTCTTAGATGAAGGCAATTATTATTCATTTTTCACTAGTATTTTTTTTCATTTTGAATTTTTTACCAAGTATTAAGAATAATTATGAGTTATTTTTCTTTCATCTTATTTTTGCTTTTCATAACTTTTTTTTCTTTTCTTTTCATTTCAGTTCTACTTGTTTCCTTTTTATTGTTGCTTTTTTTATCATAATCTAAATTAAATACTTTCTTGTCTTTTCTTCCAAACTTTTTAAATTGAATATCACCCACTTGTCTTCACCTTATTGTTTGTTTTTGTCATGTTTTTTTTTTTTTAATATACACAAATCTTTTCTACATTTTATTATTGCTTTTTATCGTAACATCAATTATTCTGATTCATCTTTCATGGGCCATGTCCCTTCATGATGGGAATGACTATGGTTCTCCACAACTTCCTATCCTTTGTAGTTCTTAACAATATTTGTCTTTTATTATTCTTCTCTCTCCTTGTTCTGCTATCCATTTTCTACAATCTTGTTAGAGGGTTTCGCACCGTTTTCATTGTCTTCGACATGTTGCCTGTGTATACCGATTATTTATATTTTATTTTCTAAGCTTCTCCTTGTTGCTATTTTTTTGTTCACTTCCTCAGTTGAATATAACCAAAGCTGATCTGGCAAACCTGTTTCTCCTAAGCTTTAATTTTTCAATTTCCCCTTGTATTCTTCTTTTGTAGGCATTAGGCATTCGTAGAGACGACTCGTTTTCCACTACAATGTTACAGCAAGTGTTTGATGTTCTTATTGCAGAGACTACTCCATTTGGTGGTAAGTAAGATTTATATCTAATATATAGAAAATATGTATTTCTGTGTTTTTTGCTGTTCCCCGCTTAGGTTATTCAGATAGTAGATATCGTTTTAGAATTAAGCAACATGCTTCACTATGTGAAAAGATGGTGGACAGAAGTGTAGGTATTCCATGCTTTTCTACAGTTTGTTTTATGCTGTTTCACTTCCTGATAGTGTAATGGTTATTGGCATAGAAAATGAAATTGGCAAACACTTCAAATTCTAGGTTAATTTACTTTCATACAAATGCCTTTGGGAAATGTATGAATCTGTTTTTGTCCTTCACAGCTTTGTGTTAATAGAATAGACTTGTCTCTTTAGCCTTGAATGGCAAGTAGCCTAAGGCAGCAGCAGCAAACCACTCTGCACTCTTTGCCATGAATACATGACAATTTGCAGATAATAAAGTATAGGAATCTGTAGAGAAGGCAACAGGAAACCACTCCACTTGCTTTGCCAATAATGCATTGCAATTTACGCATAGGGAGCTGTAGTGTCATCCTGGAATGACATGGCATCTTAAAAAAATATAGGTTTTCCACATGTGCTTAAAGCTATATGAGAAATATTTTTGTGCATTCATGTGCCCCCCCCCTAAAAAAATGTCAAAGGTGACAATGATTCACTGCTTTGTCTCACATATTTTTTTTTCTATCTGAACCTCCAAATCTGCTGTAAACCTCTGGGCCTTTTAAAAATGAAAGTCACTTTTCTGTAATCATTGCAGCATTGTCAAAGTGGAAATCTCATTTGGAGTAGTTTTGAGGTGTGGGAACACTCAAAATCTTTTTAATAGAAAAATTAATGGTAATTGTCTTTTTACTTTACATCATTTTGGTTTATGAATGGTTTCATAGGACCTCAACATTTGGATTGCAGAGGAAACGTACAAGTAATCTGGTACAAGGTCAGTGTAATAGAGCATTAACTCAAGATCAAACGAGCTACCAATGTGCTGAAAGTTTAACCATTATCCTATCGTCAGCTCCACGGATAGTGAATGAAATCAATAACCCTCTTCACTCAAGCGTTGAAAATATATTTAATCAAATTAAGGAAAGATTTTTAATATCTATAAATAAATAAGTTCCTGATCTATGTTAAAGCTTTTCAGGGTTAAGATAATCATAATTACAAATATTTACCAAGTTGAGCCCAGGAAGATTGTGTTGCATCAAGTGTGAAGGGTTTTTTTGATTAATTCATTTTCTTATCAACTTTGCAGGTTTAAATAACCAGAAAATAATTTTAGATTGGAAGAATTTTTTTTTTTTTTAATGGTTTAGTGATGCAAGTCTTACTAATTAACCCATAGTGGGAGGTAGAAGTGGTAGATTTCTACCTTTCCCAAGGTTATTGGTGTGAATATAACAAACCCAACTGGAATTGGAACTCTGCTCTTCAATTAACAATTCTGAGCCATTATCTATTATGCCACCTGCAAATCCAAGCTTACAGCACCTGGTATTCTTAAGTGGTCACCTATTAGGTAGTGACCAAGCTTGACATTGCTTAACCTTGTTGATAGTACTGAGAAACCAGTGTTCCAATGTGATGTGGCTGTAAGCTACGTGAGGAGGGCTTGCAGTATTGGAAATCCTGATAAGAATATTCAACTATCTTGGCCACCAGATAGATATTTATGACATTTAATTATTAAAGAATTAGCAATAATTAATTAATGCATTTGACTTTTTCAAATTAATGAAAATGAGGCTGGTGGGCTTTCTCACCTTCTTCATGAGAAGATTTAATTTTCAAATTTGTCACCCCTCTCCCATAAAATGAAAAAAAAAAGAAAAAAGAGAAACTCTAGTCAAAGGAAAAAATACCTTTTTGACAAAACAAATTTAAGATCCAAATCTAAATATTTATTTTCACTATTTATATTTGAACTATTATCCTTGTCTTTGCTGTTGTTATCAATTCACCCGTTGTACCCTCTGGCTTTCATCAGCTTTATGATGATCCTGGTAACTACAGGGAATTCTGAACCGATTCCTTTATTTATTTGGTGGGGGTAGACTGTTCTCGTTCCACTGCCTGTTTATTTCTTATTCCTAGCACTTCTCAGCTATTGCTCCTCTCCCCTCCCCCGAATCCACATACATACTGCCCATCCCAGGGATTGAACTGACAATTACTATGTTACCAAATTCACACACCAATGCTTTAATCCACTAGGCTTTTGTCCTGTATTGTCACCTGATGAAGGCCAGAAGGTACAACAGCTGAAATGTGATAACAACAACAAAGATGAGGACAAGAGTCCACATGTGAATAGCGTAAATAATGATAGTTCCTCGTTCCAGAAATTATTTAAATACTTTTAAAATTTCTTTTCGCATTCCAAACAACAAAGAAATCTTTGAATATATTTGTCAACTAAATGGCATTCTCTAAGACATTCAGTCCAACTTTTGTATATTGATGTGTTTACAAGACCTTCAGTAAGCATTTCTTGAGATCCAGTGTGCTAGCATCAAACAAATATGTTAAACAATTTTTTTTTGATCATTTCACCCCAAGCAAGGCCATAAAGCTGCTAACATGAAAGTGGTTACTGAATGACAAAAAGAAAAACATTATTAACCCTTTGAGCCCTGACCACCAGTCGAACGATGGTAGAGGAAAATGGCTTAATGCCCTGACCACCAGTGGAAGAGTGGTAGAGGAAAATGGTTTAATGCCCAGCCACCGGTTGAACGGTGGTAGAAAAAAATGATTTAATACCCAGCCACCAGTTGAATTGGGGGTAAACACTTGTAACTATTCTTATATCTACTGTGAAACATTACATACCAATTATTTATGAATTTTGACTCAGGAGCTGATGCAGAAGGTTTAAAATTGTTCAGGAACGCAGGGGTCAAAGGCTTAAGGAAAAAGGACAGAAATTAAGAAGACAGAAGATATTGATTGACATTGCATTTAAATTTTTGAAGATCAAATTTGACTGGAAAGCAAGAAGCTGAGAGAATTCCACAAGTGCAAGTGAAGAAACTGTTAGTAAATAACTTAGTTACATTTAGCCATTTCAATTATAAAATGATAATTGGTTGCTACCAATCTGATAGTATGCTTAAATTCATAAAGCTCATCAGCATAATTACCATGAAAAAAAGCTACATTATGGAGGTGGGAATGTGACTGAAGCCAAGATGCCAGGTCATGACTGATAACATTGCAGTTTCTCTTTATATTTTATGAAGAATCTCAATACATAACAGAAATACCTGACCAGATGTGATAAATTAACCCCCCCGCCCCAAATAGTCATTTTTCTTCATTTTCAATTAATGATATATTTTTTTCCTTTTGAAAGCAATTTGTAATTTATACAGTCAATGTTCTCTTGTTAATTACAGAAAATTAACTTCTTTTTTTTTTCTCCTCCAGATATTCCAAATGATGTACCTTCACTCGAACTAGTAGAATGTCCATCAAGCCAGCCAAAATTCTCTCTCTCTTCAGACACTGATGAAGTTGATATGGAAGGCAGCAGTGATGGGTAGAAAACATTATTTATGCTTACCATTGGGGTGGGGGTGAAATAGGACTTCTTCCAAAACAGTGTTATCTTTGCCAAACTATACTATTCCCCATCTTTCTTTCTCTCTCTCTCTCTTGTGCCATCTCAGGATTTTTCTTTTGGTACTTTTTAAGTCATATCTCATGATGATGATGTTTTTTTGTTTTTTAAATATTTATAAACTCAAATCTCTCTTAAATTTATTTTCTCAATAGCCTCTAAAAAAAAAAAAAAAAAAAAGGAAAAAAATTTACTGAATAAATCAATTTAGAATCATTTGTCTCTCTCTCCCCACCCATGGACATAGTCATAGAATTGTTTCAAACTAGTTCTGGAAAAGGGATTTGTCCATTACTCCATTTTCTTTGTTAATTCTTGTGGCATGCCAGTCATAAGATCCTGATCATGATAAATAGCAATTCAACGATAATTTTTTTTTTTTTTTTTTTTTCCTGAAGAACATTTACAAGTGAAGTATAATTCCAAATCTGTGACCTCCTCATCCCATGCATCCGAATCATTTACATGATGATTTGGGAAATGCCAGAGTTATCTCCCTTCACTCATGCCACAAACTTTGTTTTTCTTTCTCTAATGTTGTTTGTTATCTGAAGAGTTAAAAACTCGATCGTAAAAAACAAAATAGAGGAAAATATTTCTTTAATGAAATATTGTTCTTTAAATAAATAAAAAAAATGATTAAATTTTAAAATTTTCTTGAGAGTACATTGTTTTTCTTTATTTTGTGAACAGAACGTCTTTGCTATATCGTCTTCTGTCAACCATTGAGAATTTTATATGAGAATGCACATCATGGTTCATGATTTTTATATATATATATATATATAATATAAATGATAAAAAACAACATACAGTCTGAATAAAAATAAAATAATATTGCTGAACTTCAGATCCATGCCACAGAGGCCAGAGAGCTTTTCTAACCAAAAGCAAATTATCAAAACAGCAAAGATAAGGATATTTAATAAAAGCTTTTTTTCCATTTCTCATATAATTATAAATTGCAAGCTTGTGAGGCTAGCTCAAAATTTATTAGCCACATCTGTACTCCAGTGAAATGAACACACTTGAAGTCAGTTACTTTGTGCTGTCTGTCCTGGGTATGATGATAAACTACGTCCAACAGCAAGGCCTCTGATCAGGAGGTTTTGAGGAGCAAGGAACCACCTCTTAATTGCTGATGCTCCCAAGTCCACCCTGACCTGGAGTAGTAGCATCTGTTAGGGTCCCAGCTATGGGCAAATAGTTGACACACAAACTTGTGTAAAAATAGGTTTTAATACCAGAAATACTTTGTAATAAAAAAATTATTATCAGAAATAATTAAAATTTACAGTGAAACATATACTGTTAGAGTTTGTAGATTTTGATCTCGTGCAAACAAAATATTACCAAATGAGTAATTTAAAAAAAACTTTTTATGAAATTAAAACCATCCAAAATTGTAAATTTCCTAAAAGAAGTTGGATTATACTAAAAAATGAGTAATTTAAAAATGGTTCAAATATATATGTATATATACATACCTTTTTTTACCAAACTGTCACTATGAATCTATTTCAAAATTTTGTTGGCATTAAATGACCCATTGAGGTTTTGATATGCCATAAAACAAAACAACCAACCAACTTTTTGCTGTAGTAGTCACAGGCTGAAAGAATTCAGAAACTTCTTGAATAGAGGTAAAAAAAAATGTTCAGGTCATGAATGAAAACTACATCATTTTAGCTTCTTGGACACCAGCCATAAAGCAATGATTAATGAACTCATTAAATTAGTTTTAATGAGAAATTTTTCCTAGCACTCTAAAATTAAGACCTTGTACCAGATCAAAACAAACCCTATAATGAAAAGGGTTTGTACCAGTACATTGATTAGCAAGCTCAGCTGAAGTCCTTATCCTTTGAGGGTCAAATTGAACTAAGATGGCAACATAAATTGGGTTTTTAATTCCTTTAGATCAGTGCTGCTTAAATTATAGGTTGCGACCCCAAAGCAGGGTTGTGAAAATTAAATTCAGATACTTGAATTTCAGTTTATGTCATTTCACAAATGCACAATATTTAATGTGATGCACCATGCATGCACTGTGGTAATAAAACTCGCATGCGGCACCTTTGCGAATAGTGCAGTGACAACGTTTGTATTTCCTGTGTATTTGGTTAATACTCAAGGTTGCGAAAAATCTCATCATGAATGAAAAAAAGTTTAAGAAGCACTGCTTTATACAATAATCACCTCATTTATTTTGAGAAAAAAAAAAACAAAAACATTTCTCAACGCAACCAGTTAGACAAAAAAAAAAAAGGTGAAGCGGGGTGATAGAATTTGTCACATTGCTCTCTTATAAAAAAAAAAAATTTCTAATATTTAAGAAAAAAGGTTTTAGCTCTTATATAGATTAAATTTCATAAGAAATAAAAACTGTTCAACTGCAACGTAATATCAAATCCTTCAATATTGCAGTGAATACTGGAAAACTTCCTCACGAATGAAAAGGAAACAGAAATATGGTTCTGCAAAAGAATACTGAGAATTTAATGGAAGTTAAATGTAATCCCAATCAATTGGCAGATGATCTCTGTTGTTAACTGGGGCAAGAAACGGTCAACCAATTTTAAAGTCTCAAAACCAAAACTGTTCTCTATCATCTGAGAATTCCCCTTTCTGCTTTCCGTCAGCATGGTTGATGCTAACCTCCAGGAGAGTGACATTGTATCTTCTCAAGTCAGCATTCTCTTGTGACATGAAGTGGAATGAGTATATTGAATCAAGCCTGTTGCTAGAAAAGTTTTTCCATCTTCCATAGTTATAAGTCTACCATTTGAATGTTGTTGTCTGTTCAGTGCTCCTACTATATATTTTGACATTCTTGATAAAATACAAAAATGAATCTGCAATATTATTCGTCCTGATCTGGCATCTCAGCATCCGTCACTTTCGCACCACCATAAAGTTGTTTCCCTGTACCTTTTCTATAAATATTTTCATGGTAATTGTTCTTATGAACTTTCCTCTTTGGTACCTAGACTTTATGAATTTAAGTGCAGTACTAAATTGGCAGCAAGGTCTCAATATTTTACAGTTGAAATGGTTAGAGATAAGTGTAAGTTCTATGCTAACAATTTCTTGTCTCACACTTCTTGCATGTGGAACTCTCTTTTGGCTTTTTGCTTCCCAGTCAACTTTGACATTGATCTCCAAAAATTTAAATGCAATCATTATCTGCTGTCTAAATTTTTGTTCTTTTCTTATCTCACCATAATAATGCTTTTCTTTTTCTCATATTCATTCACACTCAGTGACATGTTGCATCTTAGTGACTTTATTGCCTTGCTTGGAGTGAAATGATTAAAACAAATTCCTTCAATATGGCAGTGAATACTAGACAATTTCCTCACGGACTTCAGGCAACAAATGTGCTTCAACAGAAGGATGCCATGGACAGGGCATGTGATTAACAAGGAAGTTTTAAGGAAAATGGAAACAAAAAGGTCACTTAAATTTATAATTAGAAAGAAAAAGTTAAAAATTTTGGAACATATGAGGAAAGAGTGCTTGGAGAATTTGATACTCACAGGACATGCTGAAAGCAAGAGACTGTGGCGAAACTGAGTAACCAACCTGATGGGCAGAACAGGAAATAGGAGGACAGTAAAAAAAAAAAAAAAAAAAATTAACAACTACAAAGGATAAGAAGATGTGGAGAGCCATGATTGTTTATCAGATCTGACTAATAATATATAAATAAGAAAAAAAAATATGGAAATGAATCCCTTCTACAAAACCATTCTTAGAAAGTTTTCATTGAATTCTGTCTAATTTGCACCTTCAAGTACAATAGGTCCTACTCAGGCAATTTTTATAAAACCATCAAGAGATGGTGTTTATCCAAATATTTTGTCCACCTTCTTTCAGTCCCTGTTTGTTACTTTCTTTCTCTTTCAAATGAACGGCTGTTGCAGTCATCACTCTAGTCAGTTTTTTACTCTTTGCAACAGGATGCACACTAACTGGCGTTGGGGGTGGGGCTTGCCCCGGCTCCTCCATGTTCAAGTCTGGGACATTGTCTGATGCATCTTGGATACTCAATGGCTGTGGCTGCAGAGATTGTCTCGGCCAACAGCACTGACATTCAGTGTCTTGCATTTTGTTGGTGCAACAACCTGAAAATAATTGAGACATTTTAATTATCTGTACTGCATTACAAAGGGAAAGAAAACATTTTAAGAAATCCCCCCACCTTCACGCTGCATAACCAAGATATAAACTGAAATGACTCATTAAAGTGACAGATAGCCGAACTATGATAATATCCTACATGTCAGTATATAAGGTGGGTGCATGCACACACACACACACATATATATATATATATATATATATATATATATAGATTAATCATATACTACACTAAATCTAGTATATCCAACTTAATTATTCACAATGATTCTATCCCCACTCCCCGTTAGTGATTTGCAAAAAAAACAACATACTTTACAAATTCAAGTGCCCTTTGGGAGATTGTATCTCCAATGGATTAAATAATATTTATGTTCGTCACACCACAAACTCGCTTTCACGACGCTTGACTCTACATTTGAATGATAACTTTTTCAGCATTTAAAACAACATGCCTGGCTGCGTACACAATTCCAGAAAATCCTTGTTCTTAAACATGAAAACAATAAACAAAAACTAAAAATTCTTGAAGCTATATACATAAAACAGTTGTAACCTAAACAAAATCAACTATGGAATCTCCACAAATATTCATAAATGCCTATAATTGATAACAGAAGCCATTGGTTTATGCCAACAGAAGCCATTGGTTTATGCCAACAGCTTCCCATACTTAATACTTCTCATTTTCACTCTCGCATGGTCATGTGTGATGTTATGAGCTGCAATGCGATTTTCGCTTCTGCGGCTTGTATACACGAGTTTGTTGTTGCTTTAAAATTTTTCATGCAACAAAAACAGATTATCATTATTGTTTCAACCGTGTATTGTTTGATATATTAAAATGTCATTGTCATCTTTGATAATGGCTTATGTAAGCCGAAAGCTTAGATTGGATTTAAACATGTATCAATATGGTGATTTCTTTCGTCTTTCAATGATAATGTGATTGCTTTATCAGACAATATGGAAGGTACTTACTTAAAATAAATAGACAAAACTTGTCTATATTATTTAATGAAACATGCGTCAATGGAAAATTGCTGCCTAAATACACACAGTGTGTGTATATGTATATATACATACATACATATATATATATATATATATATATATATATATATATATATATATATATATATATATATATATATAATTTTTGAAGTGCTATCTGATGATCCTGCGTCCTTTATAAGGACTCTGGTGAAATAAATTATTATAATGGTACCTTAAAGTGGTCTGTTTTTTCTTTTAAATATAGTTAGGTGAAAAATTCATTGGTATATAATCCAAGTGGATCCTAGTACTATAAAAATATTAGAACTGATCCACAAAAAAGAGCTCAATGTATTTTGTTTATACAGAGCAATATAATTAATAATCAAACAAATCATTTTACTTTATGTGAGGAATAGGCTATTTCAGCAGACAACAAAAGTGGTCATCTATTTTTTTTAACCTCTGGTGTGAAATGAAAATTTCAAAAGCAAAGTGTCACTTTGCTTTTGAAATTTTCTAATAATTATTTAATCACCGGTGACTTACCTGAAGAAGTACACCATAGTGCCGAAAGCTATTGTGTAGCGATTTCAGCATGTTTTTGTTATAATATTTTGTAATAAAATAATATATATCCATATAATGAAATAGATTAAATCCAACAATTATTTAATGTATTTTCTATCTAGAGATTATTTTTTATAGATACAATGTATTTTAGTAAATGCTTTGTTTTTAATTAATCAGGCCAGTAAATGGAATACTGTTTAATTAAAAACAGACTATTTACTTAAATACATTGTATCTGTAAAAAATAATGTATAAATAGAAAATATATTAAATCTATATCCATATAAAATATACACAGAAGTATTGTATATACTTACATATGCGACCTTTAAACACCTAATTTTGAAGCTAATTTGATTTCAATAAATAGATGTATAGTTTGGTCAATGGTAGCCAGGGCCAGCAGTATAAACGCTAATTTTACATCTCATGTATGATGTGACCCCATTAAAATTAGCTTCAAAATTAGGTTTTTAAAAGTTGCATAATACATGAGTATATACAGAAGTTTCTATATTGCATGATAGAATTTCTAGAAGATGCCAGCCAATTAAGTATGTCATTAAACTGAGAAACCATTTGTGACATGTATGTGTATAACGTGTGGCTTCAAATTGTTTTAACAAAAACTTTGGAAAGAAAAAGATAGAGACCACTGATTCTCAACATTTTTTTTTTTTTTTTTTTATCCATGGATCACTTTTTATTCTTAATTTTTGGGGGTGAAAAAACAATTCAATAAAAAAATAAATTTTTTTATTTTTTTACTAATAGATAAGTTTAGGAATCTCTCTCTCTCTCTCTATATATATATATATATATATATATATATATATATATATATATATATATATATATGCTCTGTAAATTTACATTGAGCACTATTTTGTAAAAATAAAATATCTATAAGAACACCGGATTATATATCTTACTGTTCTTTCTTTTTATTTTATATATATATATATATATAAATAAAATCCTTCCTTTATATATCTTTCTCAAAAGTAATGGTACAGGAGTAAAAGGGACGCTAACTTACGTCATTTGATCTTGTTTTCTGCTAATTTTAGATTTGTTTTTCTATTTTTAGTAATTTAATATGGCGTAGAATTTACAATTCTCAGTTGTAACAACCGTTCCAAAGTGAAATTGCTCTATGAGCCACTAACATATTAAACATAACAAACCATTTTAAAATATTTGAGTAATTAATAAGATTAAAAAACTGCAGATTTATTCAATGAGATCCATGGGTTTGATGTTGTTCTGCCAGTTTTTTTTATATTTGGCTCCATCAATGTCAATCACAGTCGAAAATCACCCCTTTTCACAATGTTGAGCCTATTGCTATATTAATTAATTTATATTAATATTTAAAATTAATATATTAAATTAATTTATATAGTAAATTAAAATCTTTATATAATTTTCCTTTTTATATATAATCCTACCTTTATATAATATTCTCAGTTTTTATTTAACTTTTACAATCATTTTACAATTATTAATTCACTCCTTCTAAACTGATGAGAATCAACCCCACTTTTCTCCTCACACCATGTGACATTCTCATTACCGGACAAGCAGTCAACACAGACAGGCCATCAATATGTGCGTCACTGAAAATTTCCAACTAAGTTATCTGGACACTGATTACACACATCTATAAAATTAACTTATGAGAAAGACTGTATACACTTTAATTATCTTATCATTCTTTCAGATTCCAATCCATATATGACTATAATAAATGGTATGGAAGTGGTGTTGTAGATAATATAAAATTTGCTGAAAGTAGATAGATTCTGAATTTCCAAATATGGCCAGTACATTAGGGCCATGTTCATAATGTTATCAAGGCTTGATTTTTTTCTTGTTGCTGTTTTTCAAATTGTCTTTTATATTTTACTATATATGCATCAAATTTCTGAGTTTTATATTATCTTTTATTTTTTTCTCTCTTTAGAGAATTTAGTTTACAAACAGAAAAAGAAAGAAAGAAAACTCCTTACCCAAAGTGACCCTTTCTATCGTCTTCTTTTCTTTTTTGTTTATTTTTGCAACAAAAAAACTTCTCTGGGGATTGGACCGAGGTATATAAAGTCCGAGGTCTGTTCGACTCTTACCATCAATCAAATGGGCCCTTCAGAGAAGATAATAAAAATACATCTGAGATACATTATATTCTATTATATATATATATATATATATATATATATATATACACACACACACTTGTTTCATTAATGACAGCATACAAGGTACTGAAATTAAGCTTTTTATTTAATTTTTCTTGTGGTCAAACAAGTGTTTACTTTTCTGGACACAGTGTGTGTAGAAACTGTCCAAATGTCCTGTAATTCCAAGCGCTTTCGGCTATACTTTTAGCCATTATCAAGGATGATTTTATTTTTACTTTTTAATTGTCTGTATGGATTGTGTGTATATTTCTAGAGTTATAGGGATGTTTTATTTTCCAAACACAGCACATTGTGAGCATGTTCGTAGTTAATATTATTGCTTGAAAAATTGAATAAAAAGCTTAATCGCAGTACCTTGTCTGTTGTCTTTATGAGACATGTATAAATGAAGGATTGCTGCCTAAATACACTATATATATATATATATATATATATATAAATAAAAGAAATTTGACAAATGGAAAATGTTTCATTGAAAACAGATTTGATTACATGTTTTGCCATTCTAGCCTTGATCAAATCCCAAAATGTAAGAAATTAATTTTGATATGTGGTTTTTCAGACAGTCACTGTTCTTGTTAATTCTTGAGCATTATAGGACTTTCATGAGTTTGTAAAATTGTATTTAATTTTTTTATTTCATTACTTTTTTCTTATTATGGCTTAATTGATAAGGTAAATATTTATATATATCTTCATTTGGCCATAAATTTGTTTTTATTTGATTTGGTTATATCTTAAGTATGAGGGTATTAATTATAGGAGGTTATGTTTATAATTAAATTTTTATTTATTGTTGCTTGAATTTGTATGCATATGCTTACATTCATACATATATGCGCGCACACACACGCATACATGTGTAAGTAACAAAGACAACAGAAAAACTATACTGCTCTGTTTTGTCCACAGAAGGACTTTATCAAGGTAAGCATTTTATTTGGCAACACGTTTGTAACAGTAAAAATATCAATAAATTTTCATAGACAAAAATTTGGTTTACCAATAGGATCCCCATTTAGTGCCATTCTGACTTGTCTCTTTTTAGAATTTCTAGAAAGTGGTCCTTTCAAAGATATTTTACCATAATTCTTATTTTGGATACATAAATGATTCACTATTAATCTATCCACATGATATAGTTTTACAAGTCAGCCTATACAGACACTAGCTGTAAGTCTCTCTTTTAGAGATACCATTATCAGTCCTTCTAAAGTTGTCTCTCCTTTAACAGTGAAACCATGGTTCCTGCATGATCACCAAAGTTAAGCAACGTCATCTGGTCAGTACCTAGATGGGTGACCCCTTGGGAATACCAGGTGCTGTAAGCTTGGATGTGCAGGTGGTGTAATAGATAACGACACGGAATTGTTAATCAGAGCAACGAGTTCCAATTCACATTGGGTTTATATTTCCTTATGTGCAAAGACCCTTTAGAAACGTATGAATCCACCTCTTCTCCCCTCAGCTATGGGTTAATTAGTAAGACTTGTATCACTAAACCATTATCTACAAAAGAAATTCTTACAAACTAAAAATATTTTCTGGCTTTAAATAACCTGCAAAGGGCTGATAAGAAGCCGTAAATCAAATACAAGATTAGCTACACATTCATGTCTTTTAGATTTATTTACATTCTCTGGAATATAAATGTATAGAAAGTACTGTGGGCCACAAAGTGAGGAGTCAGTTTATTTATTGATTGTGATATATAATTTATCCCCCACTTTATATCCACATTATAATTTTTTGTTTGTTTACCAAATTGTGATTAGGTATGAATCCATCTCTTCTCCTCCCAGCTATGGGTTAATTAGTAAAACTTGTATTAGTAAACCATTACATCAAAAAAAAAATTCTTCCTATCTAAAAATATTTTCTGGCTTTAAATAACTTAAAAGGATTGATAAGCTGTAGAAAATGAATTGATCAAACCTTTTTTAACATAAATATGCAGCTCTAGACTAGCTATAAATTTTTTTGTTTTTTTTGATTAGAGACTCCAGTATTTGCTATAACACTACAAATAAAAAAAGATTAACATAAAGTCCCCCAGGTTCAAGGTAATCTCTACAAACTTACCAGTTGTAACGTCCACCAGTGAGGAATCCATGGTAAGAGTTATCTGCCACTCCTGATGCTGGCCTAACTCTGCAAGTATTTTGAATATCATTACTTTTACTATCAACAGAAACATTATTTGAGCGCAGACATTTAAAATCAACTTGAAACAAACAGAAAAATACATTTGTGTTGTTATGGGAACACAATTATATGAAGGAGATATGGTACAAAAGCAACCAATCAGAGGGGAATTTGCATATGCAAATAGACATGCTCCTATGCGGTTGCTCACTCTGATAGCTTTAAATGAAGACTGTTCACTTCTAAAGCAGAGATTTTGGACAAAACATTAACCCCCCCCCCTTCAGGCTTGTTTGTCCTACTACAGTTCAGATTTGTCACTTTGTAATTTCTGAATTTTCCCAAATCTAAAATCATCATTAACGGTCATGGACGAGATTAAGGAGAGTTTTAATGTGTCATCTGATGGAGATCCCTAAAGAGGATTTTGCAGACTGTTTCCAAAACTGAAGGACTCTCCGATGTGTGGAAGAGTAATATGAAATATCAGATGATGACAATGCTTATTATTATGATCACTAGGTTTTCTAACTTAAGACTGAATTTTTAATAAGGCAAATATAAATTCTTTACAAACATGATGATTTAAAAAAATATATTTCTTATATTGGGTAATTTCTAAAATTTGAATTAAAAAATTCCAAGAGGTGCACATTGAAGTTGTAGGTTTGCAGCTCAGACCAGACACCATGTTCATTCTCAGGGTGCAGCTTCTTCTATTCAAATGTTTGTGGCTTAAGAAATAATTCTTTAGGCAGATTGTTAGTTATGAAATAAATCCATTGAGATGAGATTTTAGGAGTAGGCAAATTTTTATTAGTTGTAACCTTCTGCTGTAGACGTGCGAGGCTGAAGTAAGGTGTTGGGGGCAAATGATCTAATCAGTATGCCTTCCTTTTTGCATCACAGCAAACAGTCCTCTGCTTTAATCTGCTAGTGACCACTGTCTTGAAGAGAACAACCCTTCTTTGTCTTGTCATTTTTCATCTGAAAGAAGCCCCCATCAATCCTGGAAAAAGTGATGACAGTTACTGGACTTGTGAAACATATTTACTAAATTTTTTTTTTTAAGAGAAAGATTTTTAAATTTCGACCAACTGTAGCACTGGCTGCTTGGTGAAATGAATGCCAAATGTTTCCTTATAAGGAAACAACAAATATTGCCATTACCATTAGAAAAACAAAAAAATATAATCATCAACAAAAAAATTATCCAAATGACTGCTTTTTATGAGCAACTTTATATTGGCCATTTGATGCACTTAATAAGTGATTTGATTTCTTACACAGGCAGTTCAGAAAAAAATAGCAAAATTTAATCAATTATTTTGTGAGTGTGTATCTGCAAGTTCAATGTGTCAAGAAAAAATTTCATCTTTAATATTTAATTTTTTTATGATTATGAAAAGAAAGGATGATTTGCCTCCCTTGCCATAAAAATCATTTGTCAAATTGAAATTGGAAAAAATTCTTTTGATGATGGAAACTGCAAAAAAAAAAAAAAAAAAAATCTCTTTTTGAAATGTCATTATTTTCATTTGAATTTAACTTAGCATCTTTCAAAAAAGAATGCATCAGTTTAAATTGGCGCCAGGATGATACGACAAAACTCTCTGAATCTTATTTAAATTCGTTCTGTCATATAATAAACAGGGATGATCAAGTATGAAAACCAATTGATTTTATCATGAATAAAAAAGTTGATGATTGGTTTATTTGCAACGACATATAAACTATAGACCAATTACTGATTAGTCTTGGATATGACAATAATTTAGTAGCAAGGCCTCTCAGCAGAAATATTATTGGTCGTGATCTGGCATCTCAACTTTAGATATTTTCCCTACCACCATAAAGTTAACTTTCCTGTGCCTTTTTATAATCACTTTCATGGTAATTGTTCTGATGAATTCTCTTCTTTTGTATCGAAACTTCATGAACTTAACTGCAGTAATAGATTGGCAACAAGGTCTTATAATTTTACAGTTGAAATGGCTAGACATGCCTGTAAGTTCTATGCTAACAGTTTCTTCCATCCTGAGTAGGACAACAGTACTCCGAAAGGAAAGCCACTGATCGAGAGGTTTTGAGCAAGATGGAACCACCTCTTAATTGCTGTTGCTCCCAGGGTGGTAGCACCTGTTAGGGTCCCAGCTATGGGCAAATAGTCCCCCCCCCAAAAAAAAAACTGGGGTCAAAATCAATCTTCACCTCTTTCTGTGGTTGTTTACTCCAACACTGGATTTTTTTGGTATTTTCCGTGCCTGTCTCGGAATGGCTCTGTGGTTAAGCCACTGGACCAAGAACCTTAATTTACTGTGTTTCAAAGATAAATATTTGAATATTGCTGCCACATCAGGTCTGGTGTCCCTGCTATATATCTAATTCTTGATAAAATTCAAAAAAGAATCTGCAATGTTATTGGTCCTGATCTGACATCTCAGCTTCAGTCACTTTCCTTACCAAAGCATAAAGTATTTATAAAAAAGGCACAGAAAAGCTACATTAAATATTTTCATGGTAATTGTTGTGATGAACTCTCTTCTTCTGTATCGAAACTTCATGAATTTAACTGCGGTAATAGATTAGCAACAAGGTCTTATAATTTTACAGTTGAAATGGCTAGACATGCCTGTAAGTTCTATGCTAACAGTTTCTTCCATCCTGGGTAGGACCATAAGCAATAATCTGGCAGCAAGGCCTCTGATCAGGAAGTTTTGAGCAACATGGAACCACCTCTTAATGGCTGTTATTCCCAGCTCCACCCTGACATGGAGTGGTAGTACCTGTTAGGGTCCTAGTTATGGGAAAATAGTTAACCTCCCCAAACAAAAACAAAACACTAGGAAAGTATAAAAGTACATTTTTATAGTAAAAAATACCAGCAATTCATTTTTAGATAAAAGAAATGACCAACAATACCAATTTACAGTAGAATTACCAACAATCCATTTTATCTATAGTTGATGCCATAAGAATGTGTTCAGAATATTTAGATTTCAGCATTAAATAACCCATAGAGGTGTTGATATGCCACTAAACAAAATCAACCAACCATTTACAGATTGCTTATGGTCACATCATGATGAAACACTGGTTTCCATATGATCACCAAAGTTAAGCAATGTCGAGCCTGGTCAGTACCTAGATGGTGCTGTAAGCTTAGATGTACAGGTAGTGGAATGGATAAAGGCTCGGAAATATTAATTGGAGAGCCAAGTTCCAGTTCTCGTTGGGTTCATTATATTCACCTACGCACAAATACCATTGGGAAAGGTATGAATCTACCTTTTGTTCCACCAGCTATGGGCTAATTAATAAGACTTGTTTCATTAAGCTATTATTATCTAACCAAAAAAAAAATTCTTACAATCTAAAAATATTTTCTGGCTTTAAATAACCTGCAATGGGTTGATAATCCGTAGAAAACGAACCAATCAATCAAATGCTGATTAGATACATAGATATATCTTTTAGATTTATTTACATTCTCTGAAATATAAATGTATAGAAACTAAAGTGGCCACAAAGTGAGGGATACGTTTACATACTGATTGTTATATAGAATTGATCCCCCACTTTGTATCCACATTATGATTTCTTGTTTGTGTATCAAATCATGATTAGCTACACAGTCATGTCTTTTAGATTTATTTACATTGTCTGGAAAATAAATGTATAGAAACTAATGTAGTCACAAATGAGTGATCAGTTTATATATTGATTGTAATATGGAATTGACCCTCCACTTTATGTCCACATTATAATTTCTTGTTTGCTTATCAAATACTGATTAGGTATGAATCCATCTCCTCTCCCCACAGCTATGGGTTAATTATTAAGACGTGTATCACTAAACGATTACTATCTAAAAAAAAAAAAAAAGTTCTTACAAACTAAAACTATTTTCTGGCTTCAAATAACCTGCAAAAGATTAATAATCCATAAAAAACAAATCAATCAATCACATTATTGATTATCAGCTGATTAATTGGATATAGAAACTCTGACATGTCATCAGTAAACAAGTAAAGACAGTTCATAAAGTTAAAGAAAAATATAAAACCTTGTATATTTTAACGTACCTTTCAGAAGATAAAGCTTTTTGAAAGACTGGTGTTTTCAACTGAACTAAAAAGAAGAAAATATTTTGTTAAATCATCCACAGATAAGAAGCGGAAGACATGTTTTTCTTTATCAGATTAGTAATCAGTCGTTCAAAAAAGGCTGCAAATAAACACATTACAGAAGCAGTAGATGATCAAGTGACTTGGGGAAACATTGGTCCACAATGACATTTCCATAGTAATTTGTATGGTCTGGCACAAGGTCACAAATATTGAGCATTGAATATAGATGGATATCATTACACTAGTAATGATTTGCAAGATTGGCTTGTTATACATTATTCTACAGTGAAATGTCATATAGATAATTACTATGGAAATTATTATTCATTTTTCACTAGTATTTCTTTCATCTTATTTCTCTTGCTTTTCCACCAAGTAGTAATAGTCTTAAGTTGTCTGAATTTCTTAGATGAAGCCTTGTCAATTATTATTCATTTTTATATTTCTTTCTTCTTAGCCTAATTGCTTGTATGGCAACAAATAAACAGCATGAATGAAGCATAAAGAATAAAAAATTGCTGAGATTCAACCTCACATTCTTTTTGTCTTGAGAATCATGTTTTTTTTTCATGATGTTCACTTTAATCCCTGAATAACTGCCTCACATTGATAAGGACATGTAACCAAAGTCAAGATGAAAGAAATACTTGTCAAATATTAATAATGATTCACTAAGAACAATATTTAATGAACTACAAATTCAATGTAGTAAGCAATGTAGTGAATTCCATGGAACATGTGAGTAATGTGGAAGCTTTAAGGAAAATGGAAAAAAGAACTTCTATACTTAGAATCAGAAAGAGACAGTTGAATTTTCTAGGGCTCATAATGAGGAAAGAGGGCTTAGAAAATTTAACACTCACAATCATTGGCAGAACAGGGATTGAGAGAGAGAGAGAGAGACAAATAAAAAAAAAACATTACAAGGGATGAGAAGGTGTGAAAAGCCTTAATTCTAAAATGACCTGAAGGCATAAACCATATAAAAGAAGTCATTTGGCCTTACTTTTTAAAATCTGTGCTTTCAGTTGTTTTGATAATACACATGTTGATGCAGCTCTTTGTCGGGATCGCAGTAATCTGCAAAGAGAAAAATGAAAAGCATATGCAACAAGGGATAATAATGCATACTGTTGTAGGCCATTTCTTATGTGTAGGAGATTTAATCTACACTGAGGGCTCTATTATTGTAACCCTGTACCAGACTAAATGGTAAATTTTCATTTTAACACCCAAGAGTCATTCACTGCTGAACTATTTTCTTTCAGAAATTAGTACACGCTTCCGTAAAGCGATTTTTAACTTATATGTAAACATCGACAAATAAAAGAATAACAAAAGAAAAAAAAACACCTAACCCTAATTTGAAAGTTAACTTTCTTAAAAAAAAATTACTTTGTTATTCTTTTATTTGTTGATGTTTTCATATATTTGAAAGTTAACTTTCTTCTTAAATTAAGTACAAAAAAAAAAAAAAAAAATCGCTTTACGGAAGCGCGTACTAATTTCTACAAGGAATTACTGTGAAGGAAGTAAATAGGCCCAAATTGTATACATCCGCCAACAAAATTCAGCACTGAATTACTTATCAATAAGCCGGTAATGGCTGACGAAAGACTAAGAAAAAGTCCAATTTTTTTCAGATCATTAACATCCAAAAAGGTAGGTTTCTTCAATATCTAATTGTTGATTTGAGTTCAGCATATACATTTGCACAGAAATAAGACTATTTTGGAAAAATTTGAAGGGATATTAGTGCTTGGGTGTTAAAATAAAAATTTACCGACTAAATGTCTTGGAATCCTTCCAAAAGATTGTTAAGAAACTCGTCTCAGACTATTGTATATGAACCTGTGGTTGTTGCAAGGTTATCAGTTATGAGTGAGTTGCTTTATTAGCGCAATATCCATTACTATCATATGACAGTATATCTAGTTTAGATGTGTATTGGCTTTACACAATATAATACAGAAGCATGAGGGGAAAGTTAAAGTTTCAAGAGTTCAAGTGTAAAGATCCTGGCACATATGAGAGATAAAGAGAGGGAAAGTGTTTGGAAGGATATATATATATATATATATATATATATATATATATTCGGCTCTTCCATCGAATTCGATGTATGAGGGTCAAGCAGATCATTTCCTAGGAAACCAACAGCACATGAGATTTGATTATAGTGGTGAAGGTTTCGTGCAGGACCATCCACACTTTTTGAAGGATCCACTTCCAGTACTTTGATACGCTTTCTTTTTCAAGAATTTGTCCTTGTAGGTTCCATCATTTGTTGTGGTGATGGCACATTGAAAATGTGATACAGCATTTTTATTAGATCTTCCAATATTATGGGTCTTTTGTCAGTGAATTTTTTTTCAGCTTTTTATCGTGGCTTTTATGTTCGATTTTTTTTTCCCTTTCACCATTTAAATCAATTTTCCGATTCTTGCTGATATTATGTCATCTTCTCATGTTTCTTTGCCATCCTTATTTGCTCTAAAGAAAATTTTATCGCCGATCTTGAAGCTTCTGGTATTGTTTTTGTTAACCGTTTGTGTTTTTCAACTTGATAATAACTTATCAAACACGTATTTTACTCTTCTCACAAACATTAATTCCACTGGCTACATACCTGATGGTGTATTGGGGTTAGTAAATTCTCAGAAAATTTTGAGGTGTTTTCCTTATTTAATTTCTCAAGACTTGCTTCCTTCAACGCTCTTTTGAACATTCCCACAAGCTTGTCCATTAGACCGGGGTTATAACCTGTTCAATGGAGAACATCTTACAAAAGTCTTGGAATTGTGACACTATTTAGCTATGGTAATTGGCTAACTAATTAACTATAGAAATTAAAACAAGAAAATACTGAGAACGACAAAGAAAAGAGTGCTGGTTAAGAAGCCGCAGAGTGACCAAAAGATCTGAGAGATTTTAAGTGGCAATGTGTGGTTCATAAAAAGTTTGGCCAATGGGAGGAAAAAAAAAAAAAAGAATTTTGTAAACAAAAATTCTGGGTTATAATTTTAAGGAGGCCAACTTAGCCACAGCTGGGATGCCGTTGGTTGAGTGGTAGCAATGGTGATAGGTGGAGGTAATATGATGAGAAGGACGGGGAAGTTATTAACACCCACTGAAGGGATTGATATGAGGTATCAATGTGGAGAGGAGGAGTTTAGAAGGATAGCTCTCCTCTGACCTCTCCTCAGAGATGAAGAGATCCCTCCAAAATAGAAAGTGATTAATTTTCCAAAAATGGGAAGTAATCAATTTTCCTGGCCTGACAACAAAGAGATTTCTTGCCAGAAATTGAGATTTACTGAAAACCCTAGACTGTGTCTAACTCCACACCAGTTTTTGGTCGGTACCCATATAAACAAACGGCCCGAGGACATTCGACAGTAGTTCGAGAGTTGTTCCAGTAGTTTGCCAGAGAGTTTTTGGAGTTGCAGGAACCAGAGTGTTGTCTCGCAGAAGCTGACCGAGAGATTCCACGACCTCTGATATCGCCTATTCTACCAATAGTAAGTTATACTGATGAATGAAGCTAAGCCAGCACCTAAAAACTAAACCAGTTGACTTAGAAGACCAGAACTTGCCTAAGAAGTGTAAAAGTGTCACACGCCATAGAAAACAGGTTGGAAGAAAAACACACACTCCTGTATATAACAGACTGATAAAGTTAATTTGTTACTTTTAACATACTTGAACCTCTTGAGATTTTATTTGTTTCTTTTTCTTTACGCTTGTGCAATATCACCTCCAGTCTAGACTTACCTTACACTCCAGCTCAACGCCCGATTGATCTCGTCTATCTAAGATCAAAATCACAACATGGGTAGGTTAGACTCGAGATCGAAGCAGTTACTATGGTAACCAGACGTTGGAAGTGAGGTGGGAACGACAGAGCTGGTGCCGAACCGGTTGCAGCTGGTATGAAGCTGTTAACATCAACCGACCATCCCAATTGGTACCCTGACCAAAGGATTCCGCCAGGTAGTGACGACCAGGACTTGACCATGGACAGGCCAGTGTCCCATACTGGTACACTAACCAAAGGATTCCGCATACCATGGAATTATTTTATAGACAGTGGGAGCATATCCTCACTATCAACCCCAGCTATAACAACTTTTGGAACATATATAATGTACGTATATAAACATTATATTCATTACGTGTTTTAGAAGCTCCCAAAAATATAACTTTTTTTTTTCAATATATAAACCGTAACGTTTTTGTTTTTTTTTTTTAAGTATTTCACTCTAAGCAAGAACCTGTAAATTGCATGGAAGTTTTTGTGTAGCGATGTAAGTAAACTGCTTTTGTAATTTATTATAATAAAATATTATATATATATATATATGTGACATTGTAAGAATGCTGATAATTTGAAGAAAGAAAAAAGGCTTAAATTAAATCAAAAGTGAACACAAAGACAAGGTACTAAATAGATTGAAGGATGTACTGAAAACAGGAGAGAATATACTCTTGTTTGTTTTCTTATTTCATGAGTACAAAAAAGGTAGTAGATAGATTGATAGACATACCAAAAACAAACATAAATATACATAAATTTTTGTTTCTCATTTTGTGAATAAGGATTTTGCTAAAAGGTAGCACTGAAAGACACTTGGGCATCTGATTAAAGTGATGTCCAAAGGACCACCCCAGAGAGCAAGGGCAAGATGCTTTTTTTCTTTCTTTTTACTTCAAGTGGTGAAAGAGAGAAATGCAGATAAAAAATTTTACAATGACATTAAAAGTAACATCTGTTTTGTGTGGAACACCTATTCCCTGGATGGCGGCAGCATGAGGAGCTGTTATGAGGAAGTGGGAGGAAAATAAATACACACACTTGTGCAAGCAAGAGAAGTGAGGACAACAAGATAGCAGAGTGATGTGTTGCTAAGCCCCCCCCACCACCACCACCACCACCACTACAGAGGGAGCTCCCCATATTTGGACATACAAGGGTCACTCAGCAGCACCTGTGGAGAGATTTGATTGGGTGACAGGAGATTTGAAGGCATCCCAGAACAAGCCAATCCCAACCCAGTTTTTGGAGGTTGGACTCCATAAACAGCCATGTAGAAAGCAAGAATAGGGAAGACAGAGAGAGCAGCAATTGAGGCAAAGACATGCTTCCATTACATAGGTGTTCTTTGGGGCAGCAAATCACATCGACTCATGCCTATTAGATAAACTGAGCAGAGTGCCTTGATGAAATTGCAAAGTGGAAGAATTGAAAGTCTCTATATAACAACAGAGAGTGAGAGAAAGAGAGAGACGAGTTCTGCATCACCATTCCATAATTTGTTGCCTGAAGAAGTCTTAAAGTTTGACACCTTGACTTGGAAACGAATAACAAAGTGTCACAAAATTAGTCTACAAGAGAATGGTCATTAGCATGTATGCTTGTAGATTTTTCTATGAAAAAGGGTTCCTGTATAAACCTCAGTTATATAAACTTTGTTGATTTACGCAATTTTCTTTTTTTTTTTTGTCTTATAACATCGTCCTGCCTGAACGACACCAATCCAGTGATATCTGATGACAATTTAATCCTTGTCTGCCTTCTGATGGAAACAAACACAACATGGGACAGAGAAAGGGTTGGATCAAAGTGACCAACTTCCTGACCAGGATTCAGTCGCAGATACACCAGTGACCAGGATACTCTGTAGCATTATATATATATATATATATATACCTGGTGTAACAGCAAAATTGTCCAATTGTAAGATTAAGCTTTGAACCATTGTATCTTAGAAATGATTAAAGATATCTTACTGGAATTCTCTGAGGTTTTTATCACACTATTGGACTCTAATTTGAACAATAAGAATGTATTTAGCTCTAAATTGAAATGATGACACCCCTTCCTGTTGTGGCCTCCTGATCCAGTTTTCATCTTTACTGTTCCCTCTTTTTAAAACTTATTCACGATTCTCTTGATGGTTCTTAAATGGACTTTGAAAGTGGAAGCCAGAGTATGAATGTTGGTACCATTACTGAAGTCCAGGATGATCTTTTTCCTCTCACCATTGCTCAGTTGGGAAAACATAGTGGGGCTGACACAAAACAATTTTAACCTGTTCTCTTTCTAGCTGAATAACTCAAAGGGTTTTTTAGTGATTCTTATGACAAATGGTGTTAAGATGGCTAAACATCTTATTTGAAAACTTGGAAAAAAGAAACTCAATTCATTGACCTTTTTATTTTTAGATATTAAACATTTTGTGGGATGGATAATTATCCCATGTTGTTACACAATTTGGACAATTTTGCTGTTACACCTGATATATATATATATATATATATATATATATATATATATATATATATATATATATATATATATATATATATATATCACAGTAATTGACCTAGCAAGCTGGTACTGTGTTCAAGAATTGAATTGAAAAACTGATTTGTTTGTATTACTCAATTTTCATAATTTGAACACCTGTAAGTAGAGTAGGGCCTGTACTGTACAGTTTGCAAGTAGAGGGTGTATCTGTATTGTCAGTTGTAATTAAAGGAGAGACCGTCTCAACTGTAAGACATGATTAAAATCACAAATATTAACTAAAATCTTTTAATCTGTTATTTAGATAAAGATAAAGCAATAAAATGAAGAAAACTTACGATGTTTTTGTTGGACAGCCAAAGCGGAGATCAACATCATGGAAGATTTCAGTTGAAAGCTCAACATCATTTAAATAATGATGTTGTCTGTTGTGAGGGAAATAGACAATGTTTTCAGCTCTTACATGAATGTCAGATATTTCATTTCTGTCTTGTATCAAGAGCTGTCAACAGAATATAAAAAAAAAATATATTAGATCCTTCCAAAGCAAAATCAGTTTCAAATAACTCATTATTAACTTATAATAAAATGGATAAACTTAGAGTTTTTAATGGCATTTGAAAATCAACATATATATATATATACACACACATACATACATACATACACACACATACACACAGAAATAAACATAAATGGCATTTAAAACTCAATTACATTTTAATTTTAGATTATTATAGTTTTAGGCAAGGTAGTCTATGGCAGGAAGGCACGGTGGAGTTATGGATAGCGGCTCAGATTGAGGAATCAGAGAGCTGAGTTCGAATTCCAGTTGAATGCATTACATTCACTTACATGCTAATACCTCTCATTCTCCTCCCAGCTATGGGTAAATAGCAGGACAGACCAGGTTCTAGAGCCTTGGATGGCAATTAGTCTACAGCAAAATGAAATGGCAACCTACTGCGGGAAAAAATCTGCCTCATCAGTCATGCATCGAAAGATACATGATAACTAAGCGTGTATCACACATGGCACATAACTGAGGCTATGACATCTGGGTAAACATCTTATTTGAAAACCTGGAAAAAAGAAACTCAATTCATTGGGCATTTTTTAGATATTAACCCTAACCCAACAGACCGTTCAACTTTGCATAATGTGTTAAATAAAAGTAAGTCTTTTGTCCCTCCTCTCTTAACTCAATTTGCGGTGTTATCATCTTCTGCTGACACATGGCACAGTGGATAAAGGCGTTAGTTAAATCTAGTGACAGGACACAAAGAGTGTGAGTTCAATACCAGGTTAATGCAGTGGAGAACTTGGAGAGGGGGAATTAACAGGAGATTACCGAAAACTGACATCCATTAAACATGGCACGTAGAACTAGAACAGTCTACCCCAGTGAGTGAAATAAAGGGTTCAGTTCGACATTCCAACCACCTGAAGAAGGCCAGAGCGTACAATGGCTGAAATGTAATAAATATGGCGACAAAGATGAGGACAATAGTCCAAATAATATAAATAGTGTGCAAAAAGTTTTGCTTGTAAATTCTCTCTTAATTCTACTCTTGACTCATTTAGAATATCTTTGCTTGACTTTTCACTTACAATTGAGTCTCTATTGAGTGATATACATATAACTCTGTCCATAGTTTCTGCTATCATCTCTAAACTAAATCCCCACAAAGTATGTGGACCTGATGATATCCCTACAATCGTCCTTAAAAAAATGTGCTCCTAAACTTCTATTTTCTCTAAACTGCAGTAAATATTTTGCTGGTTCACGCTTTTTCTGCTTGTTGGTAATCCTCTTCTGTAGTTCCAGTCTTTAAGAACTCAAACGAACCGTCTCATTTGTCTATCAGTCTATTAACCTTCTACCTCTTTTTTGAAAAATACTAGAGTCCCTAATCTACTTTCAATTGGTTAAGCATCTCACATCACAAGCAATAGACAGTCTCAAATAAAGTTCAGTGCTGAGCCGGAGAATAGGCAAAGGCAGGAAACTGGTACCTCATAACCAGCTGCTTCCTGGAGATGGAGCTCGACAACCCAGGAAGGCAGTTTGTTTGATTTGAAACCTCCGCTGCCTTATGGTCATAGCCAAACACAGAAAAGGCCATGGAAGTAAATCCTGCCAGAAAACCCAGAGTGGACCTGTGGAGGCGGTTGACTGTCAACACTGACATATTTCCAACAACTCCTGCAGCCAAGCCAACCCCAAAGGTAATGTCCTGTATTCCTTTGGGCCGTGTAGTCTAGACAGCGCATGGCCTTCATAATAACATCGCCCAGGCCTGCAACCTGGAGAGGTCCCTCCAGTCACATTACGAAAGAACTGAATTTTTAGAAGCTTTTAAAAACATAACATTTTCATTTTAGTTTTATATTTATTATGGTTACATTTTTCAATGACCCACTCATGTTAAAAGTCATTGCTATACAGTTAATGAAGAGGATATAATGAACAAAAAAACATTCAACTGAAATATGTATTGCAACAACATTTTCATGGACATATATTTTTAATTTGTCGTTTAAAAAATTTGCTTGAGTGTGGAACAAAGGGATAGTCAAATGGATTTTGGCCAATTTTTTTAAATTAGCATTTAATTACTTAAATTCATAATGTGTTTGCTATAACTGAATAATACTACAAATATTCAAATAATATTTTCTTGTATCATTATTATATAATGATATGGCACAAATATGGTACCACTGCTCTCTGGCACACTGGGAAGACATGTTACGTCAATGATGACTGGCCTTAGAACAAATAAGACATCATGTTTTTGTTTTTAGTACAGATAGGTTCAAAATGACCTTGAAACAGGACATCACTTTAAGAAAACTGAAGGTGGGGTTCCACAGTGCCACCCATGGGACTATAAAATTTTGCTCGCCAGTCTCCCATACATTGAAAAAAAAACTGACACTACACCACATCAGATAGTTTGAGAAGCACTGCTTTATGTGATGATTGCATAAATGTATATTTCAAATATAGATGGTAAATAAAACAAATATTTCAATAAGGCATTCTTTATTTTTTCTCCTAAAATAAACTGCATTAAAGCTAAAGGTAATATGTAGTGATTTACTAAGCATATTTTAGGTGTGGCACAAGGTTGAATTAAGGAGCACTGAGTGAGAATCAAACTCACTACTCAGTCGTAATTGATCTAGAAAGACAAGCTGGTTTGGTTTGTTTTACAACATATCAACCTCAATGGGTTATTTAATGCTGACAAGATTTTTATTGCTGGTAATATTTTTTTTCCAAAAATGTATTGCTGGTAATAATTTTTTCTTCAAAAATGTATTGATGAATGAAAACCTATATTTACATTTTCATAGTGTTTTGCCCCCAGTTTGAGGGTTAACTATTTGCCCATACCTGGGACACCTAAAAGCTGTTATCACCAGCAATTAAGAGGTGGTTCCATGCTCCTCAAAACCTCCTGATCAGAGGCCTTGTTGTTGGACATAGTTTATCATCTTACCCAGGATGTGGATGTAGTTTATCTTCTTACCCAGGATGAAAGACAACCTGGTTAACCTTAACATCATGTTGAAGATATTATGTAACCATCAAATAAAAAAACAAATATAGTCATTTTTAAAAGAAAAAAAACTTTTCTTTGTGTTTAACTTTGTAAAATAAGCAAGCAGGTTTTGAGATTAGAATTTCATGTGAATAAAAATTAAATTTTGTCCCCCAAAATAGACAAGCAGAGTTAGGTTTTAAATGTTTATGAAGATAAAAATTAAATTAAAAACAGAAATAATCATTAGAAAAGAAAAAGTTTCCTTTTGTTGTTCAAAATAACGTACCAATGAAATCTGATTTTAGTTTTTATTGCGAACTCCACTTGATAAGCAATATCAAAAGGTTACTCACATTTCTTGTGCGTCTTTGTTTGTTGCTTTCAGATGACACACATTCACGAGCTGAAAAGATCTTTTCCTTTATTTGTTGAAGTGAATTTATGTCTAAAGAAGTTTCGCTGAGAGCTGAAAATGAAAAATGGATGAATTTTTCTTTTTGTGATGTACAGTAGCCATTATTAATTAAGTATAACTCAAGAGTTCAATGTTAAGATAAAACAGTATTTAATTACAACCACAAATAAATACTTAATAAAAACAAAGAAGTAAAATTAAATCAAAGATAATGATCCATTTCAGTGAATACCTTGTTAGTACATTATTTATATTATTTGGACTATTGTCCTCATCTTTGTCGCCATATTTATTACAATGTTTTGGTCGTTGTACACTCTGACCTTCTTCAGGTGGTTGGAATGTTGAACTGAATCAAGGACACATGGCACAGTGTATAAAGACGTTGGTTAGATCCAGTGACAAGACCCAAAGAGTGTGAGTTCAATATCCGGTTAAGGCAGTGGAGAACTTGGAGAGGGGAATTAACAGGAGATAACTGATAACTGACATCCATTAAACGTGGAACTAGAACAGTCTACCCCAGTGAGAGAAATAAAGGGTTAAGTTCGACATTCCAACCACCTGATGAAGGCCGGAGCGTACAACGGCCAAAACGTTGTAATAAATATGGCGACAAAGATGAGGACAATAGTCTGAATAATGTAAATAATGTACATAATACCTCATCTCAGAAATATAGACAGATACCTTGTTAGTAGCGCAGCTCAGTTTAACGTCCAGTAAATCCTAAATCAAAACCCAAATCATCGATGCCCAATAATTCACACTAATCTGACTGAAGAGACCACTATTTATACATCTGGCAGAAAATGTATATTCATAAGATCAGAGTTGAACCTTAATTACTAATTTTCTTCCTATATGACACTCTTCAATCAGATTCAGACATAAAATGGTAGATTCTCTGAGAATGTTAATCATAATCTTTTTTGTAAATGAACACTTTTCTCTCATAGTCATTACTTCACTTCTAAAAGGATCTAATATTTTAATTTTACATCCCTTTTTTGTTTGATGTGGTGTAGTGGTAGTTTGTTTTTTCAATGTATGGGGGACTGGTGAGCAAAACTTTACAGTCCCATGGGTGGCGCTGTGAAACCCCACCTTCAATTTTTCTTAATAGGAAATCGTTCCACCACTTGTAAATGTGTCTAATAACATGGTTTAAATCCTTTCTTTGTTTAGACAGTCTTTTCTTCATATTTGAGAAGATCATTCCTCTGATTGTAAAAGAATCAAATAACATGGTATACATCCTTTCTTTGTTTAAACCCTCTTTTTATCATATCTGAGAATATCATTCCCTTTTATCAGACGAATTAAGACATTGGATCTTTTCCTTTTTTATTACTTATGTATCCATTACCCTCTATTTTAGAAGCTCAGTCTTCTCTTTGGAGATAGAAGTATTTTAAGGACAGATTGACCATCACTAGTCTGGCAATCAGTAAACCAGCACGGATTTCCATGAGAGCAATTTAAGAATAACCGGATTTCTGCAAAGAACTGCCAATGCTGTTTTGTTGGCATGAACGGCTGTGTCAGCAGTTTTGTGCATTTTTTTTATAACCTGCTGACAATTAGCCCAGATATGACGCCATTAATATAAGAAGTACTTCTTGTGGTATGAAGGGCAGAAATTATTCACTCAACTTATTATTTTCTTTTTCTTTTTCCTTTATTGATTTAAAGGATATTTTAAAGGCAGGGTGAAAAGGTCAGCTGTTGGGAAAAGCCAAATCCCTTATCTGGATCCCTATGGGCCCCAGTGATGCCAGGCTTCATTTAAGAAATTCATACAAAGAAATACTAGTGAAAAATGAATAATAATTGACAAGGCTTCATCTAAGAAATTCAGACAACTTAAGGCTATTACTACTTGGTGGAAAATCAAGAGAAATAAGATGAAAGAAATACTAGTGAAAAATGAATAATAATTGACAAGGCTTCATCTAAGAAATTCAGACAACTTAAGACTATTACTACTTGGTGGAAAAGCAAGAGAAATAAGATGAAAGAAATACTAGTGAAAAATGAATAATAATTGACAAGGCTTCATCTAAGAAATTCAGACAACTTAAGACTATTACTACTTGGTGGAAAAGCAAGAGAAATAAGATGAAAGAAATACTAGTGAAAATGAATAATAATTGACAAGGCTTCATCTAAGAAATTCAGACAACTTAAGACTATTACTACTTGGTAGAAAAGCAAGAGAAATAAGATGAAAGAAATACTAGTGAAAAATGAATAATAATTGACAAGGCTTTATCTAAGAAATTCAGACAACTTAAGACTATTACTACTTGGTGGAAAAGCAAGAGAAATAAGATGAAAGAAATACTAGTGAAAAATGAATAATAATTGACAAGGCTTCATCTAAGAAATTCAGACAACTTCAGACTATTACTACTTGGTGGAAAAGCAAGAGAAATAAGATGAAAGAAATACTAGTGAAATTCATAATACAATTCAAGTATCTTATCGTCTTGAAATCAATTTCAAGCTTGTGACATGCAAGAGTAATTTATTCAGTTGCCATGGATTTAATATTTGTGAAATCTAATTTTGATGTTGTTTTGAAGATAGAAATTTAGATTGGAAAAAAAAAAATTAATTCAATTTTCAAATCACCAGACAAGTGAGTGAGATTGCATGAAAATGTCATGTCCCCCACGTTCCTTTTTGAAAGAATGGCATTGGACATTTACATGCCTCAGATTTTGACCAGATCGTTAGTATCTAAGCCAGACAATTCTCTGACATTTATGGGATTGGATTACTTAAACAAAATATATTCTATCAAGTCAAGTATGTTTGACCCATAAATCTTTCCTTTGTGTGGGTGTGAGTGAGTCAATTTAAATGAGATTCATATATGGCTATTTCTTTTTCTTAATAAATACACTCCAAGTAAAACAGTTATTCCACTAAGATGCAAGGGCTAAAACAGGCTACACGAAGACCCACTTCAGACCATAATTATTTTGGAGTTTTTGAAATTCAATTTGTCAATGTGCTACCAGGGATGTAAAAGAGGATACATTTATAAAGCAATTGTTAAGTTTGATGAAAATTGGTTGAAAGATCAACGAAAAAAAAGAAACCAGTAAAAATCACTATTTTTCTCTATTTACACAGGTTTTCACTATATAGGTGGACTTGATTATCAAGTTAAATGACTGTTAAACAATCAACTTATTGTTGGCTACAATTGAGTGAAGTTTGTATTAGATTGCATGAAAATTGAGGGAGTTTTTAGTTTAAAATTTGTGTTGGAATTGATTTTTCATGGTTTTTGTAAGCTGAATGCAGTGGTGTAGAAATAAAAATCAGGTATTGTTGAGCTTGTCATGATGTAAGTAACCTACATACCAAGTTTGAATGAAAAGTTGAATTTATTGATTTTTGATTGGCTTTATCAATTATTTGTTTTTACAAAATTACTAATTTTTTATGCTAAGAACCTATTTCTTACATTGTACAATGTGATAAGTTTGGTCAAAATTGGTTGGATGAATCTTGAGTGAAAAGTTATCACACAGACAGACACACAGACATCCTCTGTTTTATATATATCGATGACTAAAATCAGGTAAGCTTATTGGGATACCAAAAACACGTCTTCTAAAAGCTGAGCAAAGTATTAAGAAAAAGAAATATATGATTAGAAACAAAGAAAAAAGTACTGAAATGTTATATTGTTGTAGAGTGGTTTCACAGTGGAGGCTTGTATCTGTACTAAGTCGGTCCTAAAATAGGTTCGACGTACAAAACGTTAGGAACTTGATATAATGGGTAATGATGCAGTAATCTAGTTGTGGTAGCTGATACTTTAATATCCGACTAATGGTCGTCCGACATCGACTGACTGACCAACTCCCTGAGCCACTCCTACTACTCCTACTTATTATAGGTGGGAGAGTCTATTAACTATAGTATAGGTGTGTTCCACTATAACATATATCAGTCCTTCTACATGAGAGTGAATGCTGGTCAATGAACATGCTCACAGATGAAGAAGAGACTTGAAGCAATAGAAATATGGTTCTACAGAAGGATGCTGAGGATACCATGGACCAAACATGTGAGCAATGACAAAGTTTTGGAGAAAATGTAACCAAAAAAGAAACTTATACTTAACATCAGGAAGTGGCAGCTGAAATTTTTAGGGCACACATAATGAGGAAGGAGGGCTTGGAAAATTTGTTACTCACAAGACAGATTGATGGAAAGACGAACAGAGGAAATCAGCACATAACATACTTAATGGGCTCAAGTAACTGGATGGTAGAACAGAGTTTAGGTAAAATAACAAAAAGAAAAACTTATTAAGAGCTACAAGGAACAAGAAAATGTGGAGGGTCATGATCGCCTAAGTCATGAAGGGATATGGTATATTTCATCCGGGTCATAGAGGCACCACATGTACTGCAGTCACAGTAGAAGTGGTGTGTTTTGGGCAAGATAGCCTGACTGTGCCCAGCCCCTCTTCAGGCCAGTTTTTGAATTCAGAGTTACCTTCTCCTAGATTGGTTGCCACCCAAGGCTATAGAACCCTGTCTGTTCTGGTATTTTACCCATAGCTGGGGGAAGAAGAGGATTCATACTTTTCTCAAATTATTAGTATGTAATGGATCTGACTGGAATTCAAACTCAGTTCTCTGATTCCTCAATCCGGGCTGCTATTCATTACTCCACTGTGCCTCCTCACATTAGAAATACGAGCAATTATTCAAATAGAACTTATGATTAAATCTACATATGCTGTTGAAATACCTAGATGTAACCATAATTTTTAGTTGAATAGTTTCTTTGCTTGCACTTCTCACCTGTGGAACTCATTTCGGATTTCAAGTTTTCCTGCCACCTACAATCCTCAAAAGTTTAAATGCAACATCACTTGATATCTTTTATCTTCCTGAAATCCATTCTTTTATTTTTATTTTTTTTTCCTCATTAGTGTTCCTCATCTTCTTTCTGTCCTGGGTAAGATGCTAAACTACATCCAGCAGCAAGGGCCTCTGCTCAGGAGGTTTTGAAGAGCGTGGAAACATCTCTTAATTGCTGGTGTTCCCAGGTCCACCCTGACCCAGTGTGGTAGCACCTGTTAGGGTCCCAGCTATGGGCAAATAGTTAACTATTTAAAAATTATTACCAGCAATACAATTTTGAAGGAAATATATTATCAGAAACAGATTTTTGACAAAACAAAATATTACCAGCAATAAAAAATTTTGTTGGCATTAAATAACCCATTGAAGTTGATATGCCGTAAAACAAAATAAACCAAATGAAACCAATCATCATCTTTCACTACTCCCAGTAACACTTTGCGTCTCAATGGCATTATTACCTTGTTTAGGGTGAAATGATTAAATAAAAAATAAAAAATAACATAAGAAAGTAAATACTGTTAAAAGCCATATAATTTGTGCATATATGTAATTTGTGCATATATGTAATTTGTGCTGGTGATTTTCAGGCAAAAATTTCTTAAAAAAAAAGATGCTATTCATGTAAAATTTTCCCTCCCCAAATTTTCAGAATTGCCAATATGGTCAGGGGAAAGAAGTTTTCAATTTAGATGTATTCACTTGTATAATTTCACTTATAATTAATTCTATCAAGCTTTTTTTCCCTGGTGTCCCGGTTACATAAATTTAAGCGTGCTACTAGACTGGCATCTAGGTCCCACCCTTTTACCATTGAAATAGTTAAATGTAACCACCACTCCTGCTCCACTTACCACTTGTGGAACTCCCTACCATTTGCTTGCTTCCTTGATCTTCAAAAATTTAAATGCAACATCAATCGCCATCTTCTGTTGTCTTGAACTTTGTTCATCTTTTATTCTTTCCTCATTCCTCCCTATACTCAGTTTTTTTCTCTCATCTTCACTCTATGTAACCCCATGCATACTAGTGGCACTCCCACCTTCCTTGGGGTGAAATGCTTAAAAAAAAGATTGTAAATTTTCATTAAATAAAAATAATTTCAGTTTAACAGATGAGTATCACATAATTTACATCCTCAACAATTTTGTTGATCTCACAACAAAACAAGAAAAAACAGACAAGAATAAAACCGTACAGTCAAGATTATTCATGTCATTACATTGTTTTCCAGTCAAGAATATCTATATCACTATGTATGTCAATGGTGCTCCATTGTGATAGGTAGAAACATCAAGCAATGTAAAAAATGGCAAGGATTGTGATTACCAGCATGAATGTTATTCAAAAAGTAGTTAACCATTTAATGGTTTTAGTAAATTTATACAGAAAAAGTAAACATTCTACCGTCCAGCAAAAATAAAAGTCAACTTTATTACATTTAAGACCTTAGTTTTTCTGTATAAACTTATTCTGATATTAAATAGGTCAACTTCTGGTACGAATATTTACAATTGGGTACATCTTTTTTCAACCAGAAAAAATAAAAAAAAAAACAACCTGGAAATGATCTACTCATGTAATTTACGAACCCCTAAAATTTATTTTTATTTTTGCGAAAAAATATGCATAACTTACATTGCAAGGAAAGACACAAAATACCCAAAGCTATTATAATATAAAAAAAAATAACCGACACTGAATAAAATGTATTTCACCACAGGAATGTGTTTACAATTTAATATCTTCATCCTTAGATACTATCACGTTTTATTCCAAGCAATTTCCAAAGGTGCTGCTTGCTGAGATCACCTCACCAGGCAAATAACATCAAGAAGTCAAAATCCTAACAAATCGACCATGGCAAGATTCAAATCTGGGTCTAACTCAAACTAATGCTCTAATTTGTTTTTAAAATTAAATGTATACCCCAACCCCTACATCTTGTTACTGTTCTACACATAATGTTACTCATCAATAGCAAAAATGAACATTGTGAACTGCTACTACAGAATCACAAAGAAAGAACTGTACCAAATAACAGAAACCCCATCAGTTGAGCACTATGTAGTTAAATGAAGTTCTGTTCCTCAGAAACACTGAATGTGCCTTCTGATGACACCATTCTTGAATTTGTGCATGTGTCATCAATGTAAAAATTGCCACCCCTTCTCACAGCTCCAGTCCTTTTTATTATGCCAAAACCACAGCGAACTGACCAATCAGTGTTCTTGGCTTTGTCCTCAGTCACGCAGTCAACTGTCATCCTCAAGTCCGACCAATCAGCACGTGGATTGCTATTGGTCAAACCGTGCTAAGCTGTATAAAAACAAACGTTTCAAACTCATACACTTCTGGAATAAATAGTGGGGGGAATATTCATGCCATTTTCAAAGAAACAAAATATTTCTGCTACAAGTCATGTATTGAAGTAAGGAAGTTATTATTTTCCTTTACACCAGATGCAAGCCACTTTGACTTGTTTACTTCTATGTAATTGTTCACTACAGACTACCAACAGCAGCAACAACTAAAATGGATAGCATTTGTAACTTGAAAAGAAAATAATGAAGAAGTTGATGTTCTACACTACTTCAAACAAAGGGTTAAGAAGGAAATTCCCATCAATACTGGAAAAAGTGATAACAGCTACTGGACTATTTTCCTGAAAAATTGTTTTAAGAGAAAAATTTTATGAATTTCAGCTGAAAGCAATACTGGCTGTCCAGTCAATGAATGTCAAATGTTTCCTTATAAGGAAATGGCTAATATTACCATTGCCATGATTGCCCACGTCTTGAAGGAATGGAAAAAAAAAAAATAATAATAATCTTAAAACTTAACATATAGCTCAAAGAGAAAATAATGACATAAGATGTTGACATTCCACACTACTTCAAACAAAAGGTTAGGAAGGAAACTGCCATCAATATTGGAAAGTGTTACAACAGCTATTTCACTTGAGAAACCAAATTTTCCTGAAAAATTTTTTTAAAAGGAAGATTTTATAAATTTCAGCTGAAAGCAATACTGGCTGTCCAGATAATGAATGTCAGATGTTTCCTTATAAGGAAATGGCTAATATTACCATTGCCATGTTTGCTTATGTCTTGAAGGGACAGATGCAGCACAAAGAAAAAGTATAATAATAATCTTAATATAAAATTCAAAGAGAAAATAATGACATAATCAAGCTCTTGATATTCTACATGACTTCAAATAAAAGGTTAGGAAGGAAACTCCCATCAATACTGGAAAAGGTGATAACAGCTACTGGACTTATAAATTTCAGCCAAAAGTAGTACTGGCTGTTCGGTCAATGAATCTTTATAAGGAAATGGCTAATCTTACCATTGATATTACCATACTTGACAATTATATTACAGAGTGTCGAAAGACAGACAGTGTTGAATGGACAAATGCGAACATATTCAAGCTTAACAAAGTGATGAAGCAAAAACAGAGTGTCGAAAGACAAAATGAAATATCAACCTCCCTCCATTGGACTAAGTAATGATTACCGAGGAATGGACAAAGTGTTTAGAATAGCTTAATTGATTATTTGAACTGAGTTTTTTAAATAAACTTTATATGTTCGTTTTACTTTATTCAACATTTTGTTTTGAAACTTTGTCTTTTCAAAAATTTAGTCAGTTTGACACTTTTTTTCCATTTGACAATTCGTCTGTTTGACATTTTGTCCATTGATCATTTTGTCACTTTGTCGTTTGACACTCTGTCCTACTGCCATATATTTAAATAAGAATACTAGCTTTTGATATGTTTTTTTTTGGATTATAAGATTATCTAATCCTCCAGTTTGGACTGCTAAGTTAATGATCAGACTCAGTCAAAAAGGACAAGTGATATGTGACCCTTTTAAGGCTATTCACCTGTAAATTGAATAAAGAGTTCATTTTGAAATTCCTTGAAAGTTACTTGGATTGATAAGTACCTGAAGAAGGCAGGAGGGCACAATAATTGAAATGTTGTGATAATAACAACAGTGCCTCTACATCAAGTGGCTCTCGGTCCTTGTACAAGATGAAGATCAATGTAACCCGCCACCACAATAAAAAGAAAAAGAAACTGAAAGATAATATCAAACTTATTGAACTGCAACCATTGAAATTGTGGAGTATGCTTCTCTCCAGAGTATGTAGAGAAAAACATACCAAATTAGCATTCAGAGATACAACCATATGAGGATTAAGCACATAAGTAGTCTAAAGCAAATCCAGAAGTCTGACATGATTCAGTGATTTTGAATGTAAATAACATAAATAAGAATGCAAGTATGTCTTCAATATGCCCTTCAGGATGAACGGGATCATAGCTCTCCACAACTTCCTGTCCTTTGAGGCTCTTAGTATGGTTTGTCTTTTTGTTATTCCTCCTCACAATCTCGTTTGGTCAGTGATTCAATGCTTTCCGTTGTCTCTCTTACATTCAATATGTCTCATGGATGTCAAATTTACTAAGCCTCCTTTCCTTATTATGTGTCCTAGAAATTTTAACTATCTCTTTCTGATGTTAAGTAGAAGTGTCATTTTTATTTCCATTTTTCTTAAAACTTTGTCATTACTCACATGTTCCATCCATGGTATTCTCAGTATCCTTCTGTAGAACCACATTTCTGTTGCTTCAGTTTTTGTTCTTTGTTAAAATGCTTCCTAGATATTTATATTTTTTGCATTTGCTTGATTTTGGCATTTCTAATTTGTAAATCGCATCTCGACTTTTGCTGACAATTACATATTCTGTCTTCTTACAATTCATAGTCCTTTCTTTTCACTTTCCTTCACTAATTTCTTTAGAAGTTCCTCGAGTTTTTTCTGTATTAACACGACTCAAACAAAAACATTATACAGTGGGCTATGATAAGTTTTTAGCTACCTTTGATTACAATAATCTTGGCTTGTTTAATAACATCTCTTCTTTTTTCCAGACAATACCATGTTAGTATCAAGCTACTCTCATCAATGAACGATAGTTGACTTATATTTTGCAATGAAAGTTTGCAGAAGTAAGGAAATTGGTGAATTTCAACAAGGGCAAATAATAGGATGGCATCAGTTTGGCAAGTCAAATAGAGAAATTGATAGGTTTTCCAAGGTTAATCATCAAACGGTTAATAATATTGTCATGAAATTTAATAAAGAAGGCCATTGTCGTATGGAACAATGTTCAGGAAGACCAAGCATCATGTCTGAGAAAACGAAAAGGGTGCTGAAGAGGAAAGTCATTAGAAACGGTCTTCAGGGCATCAACAGTGTGGCCAACAGCATGGAAATGTCACCATATACGGTGAGAAAGCCTCTGAAAGAGATAGGCTATCAATGAAGAGTTGCAAGAAAGAAGCCCTTGATTTCAGGGGTTAACAGGAACATGTTATCGACTGGTCAAGAGAATTTGAGAGCAAAGATTATGAGTTTTGGCAGTCTGTAATTTGGTCAGATGAAAGTAAATTCTGCCAATATTCGAATTCAAGATAGGTTTATGTTTGGAGAAATCAGAATGAGACTTGGAATACTGAATGTCTGAAGGCGACCATGAAACATGGAGGGATTGGAGTAATGGTGTGAGGCGCTGTCTGGTTTGAAGGGAAATCTTAGCTGATTCTTGTTGACGAGCAGTTGAATGAATCAAAATACTGTCAAATATTAGAGAAAGGATTACTCCCATTATTTAAAACCAATCAGATTGACAAAAATGTCTACCTTTTTCAAGAAGATGGAGTGCCATGTCATATGAGCAAAGTAACAAAGGCCTGGAAGGAAATGCAAGGATTCAGGTCACTGCCATGGGAGAACCTTGACCGAAAACTTTGAGAATGTGCAACCAAAATCACGTATGGCCTTGTTCGTAGTTAATATTAACTACGAACAAGGCCATAATATGCTAACTGTATTCAGAAATTAAAAATATCTCTACACCACACTAAAACATACACATAACGCACACACACTCAATTAAGCTGAAAAATCGAATCATCCCTGATAATGGCTAAAGGTATAGCCAAAAGTGCTCGAAACTATAAAACATTTGAACAGTTTTTACACACTTTTTGTCCAGAAAAGGAAACTCTTGTTCGAACACAAGAAAGATTAAATAAAAAGCTTAACCGTAGTACCTTGTCTGTTGTTTTTAATGAAACATGCATAAACGAAGGATTGCTGCCTAAATATACAATATATATATATATATATATATATATATATATATATATATATATATTATAAATTAATTGATTTAAAATATGCTTTTTTTTTGCTACACAGTTCTAACCATGTTTCAAAAATGGAAGCTAAAAGCTTCAAATTTAATTTTGTAATTAAATTAAAGACATTAGTTCCATTTCATCCTCAAGTGAATTTTGGAGTAACTTATTTTTAAAATTACTGGGTTTTAAAGGCACTGCAAAAATTCATAATTCACGTTTCCAAGGATACAGAGAAATCCATTCATCCAGACAAGGGGTGGTTGTGTGTTCATTGTCGCTGTATTTTATTGTATCAGTTATTAGTTACGTTTGAAGAAGGGTTTTCGTTTAGGTAGGGATAGGGATGTATTTTTCAACAAATTCTGACATCCGTTAAATGCATGTCGTCTGGATTTAAAAAAAAAAAAAATTATTGTTAACAGCAAAAATTCTATTTTTTTCTATTTTGTATACTTAAAGATTTTTTTGGGGTGTTTAGGTTAGAATACGTTTTATTTAACTACGATTTTAAAAATATTTTCACTTTTAATATACTATATTTCTTTTATAAACAAGTAAATGTATTAGAATTACTTACAGTATGTAAAATTATTTTCACATCAAGTATAAGTATGTATATTACCAGGTCACAACTTTTAAAAAAAATTATATTTGAATATTATTTATGTAAAATTTTTGACAATGACGGCAAAAATAACTAATTCATTTCTCTGATTTAGTAAACCTTTATTTTTTATAAACTTAGTAATATATAGTTTCTCATGTAAGTACAAAGGACATGGGTCATTTAATGGCTTACATCTTCTAGCTTTTCATATTAATTTCATTTTACTGTAGGTGTTTTATTGGATTCTTTTAAGTGCTTGTAGTACTTTGAGAGAGGTGTTTCGGTTAGAATACGTTTTATTTAACTACAATTTTAAAAGATGTTTAGGTTAGAATTCGTTTTATTTAACTGCAATTTTAAAAGATGTTTAGGTTAGAATTCGTTTTATTTAACTGCAATTTTAAAAGATGTTTAGGTTAGAATTCGTTTTATTTAACTGCAATTTTAAAAGATGTTTAGGTTAGAATTCGTTTTATTTAACTGCAATTTTAAATACAACTTTAAAATATTTTCACTGTTAATTTTAACAGACTAAATTTCTTACTAGAATTCTCTGAGTGTTTTTATAATACTATTTGATTCTACTTTGAACAATAAGAATGTATTTAGCTCTAAGTTGAAATGATGACCCCCCCCTCTTGCTGTTGTGACCTCATGATCCAGTTTTCCTCTCTACTGTTCCCTCTTTTTTTAAACTTATTCACCATTCTCTTGATGGTTCCTGAATGGACTTTGAAGATGGAAGCCAGAGTATGAATGTTGGTACCATTACTGAAGGCTTAAATGATTTTTTTCCTCTCATCATTGGTCAGATGAGAAGACAGTGAGGTTGAAACAAAATGATTTTAACCTGTTCTCTTTCTAGCCGAATAACTCAAAGGGTTTTCTTATGATAAATATTGTCTAGATGGCTAAATGTCTAATCTGAAAACCTGGAAAAAAAAAAGTTTGGTTTTTTAGATATTAAACATTTTGTGGGATGGACAATTATCCCACACAGTTACATGATTTGGGCAATTTTGCTGTTACACCCAGTACATAGAGGATGATTGAAAAGTAATTGCCAATTTTAAAATACTTATAATTTATTTATTAACAATATATTTTACAAGAAATGGATATGAGAGGAAAGGGTTTAGCATGAGATTTTATTTAAAATCTGATATGGGCACCAGATTTCACTACCAGCTCCTCAAGCTGCCCAAGAACCACATTAACTAATTTCACCAGCATCTCTTGTGGTATGGAAGACATATCTTCTTGTATTTGTCGTTCAAGTTCTTCCAAAGTCTTGGTTTGGTATAGTAGACTTGTTCCTTTAACCAACCCCAAAGAAAAAAGTTACAGGGTGTTGACTTAGGACTCCTGGCATACATAAAATAGGGAATTACTTTTTAATCACCTGTGTGTGTGTGTGTGTGTGTGTGTGTGTGTGTGTGTGTGTGTGTGTGTGTGTGTGTGTGTGTGTGTGTGTATTTTAATCATTCCACCCCAATTAAGGTAATAATGCCACTAAGATGCAAGAGGTTATTGAGAGTGAAAGAAAATGAAAAGTGAAGAGAAAGAACAATAAAGGAACAAATTTCAGGAAGACAGAAGATGGCACTTGTCATTGCTTTTCAATTTTTGAAGATTGTAGGTGGTAGAGAATAAAGAAATCAGTAAAGAGTTCCACAGGTGATAGATAGATAGATAGATAGATAGATAGATAGATAGATAGATATGTACAGACTGAAAAAGATAAATATGAACAAACTGAGATAGATAGAATTATTGTTACGAAAACCAATATGAACAGATTGTATGTGATAGATAGATAGATAGATAAGAACACACTGAGATAGATAGATGATGGCAGCAACTAGATTTCAAGCAATGTCATCACCTGACCAATTCTCAAATATGGGCTGTGCAGATGTGGCTTTTTAGTCCTGCTAAGGTCTTACATTCTCTTGTGCAGATGTGGCAATGTTGGGTGACTTTTGCATTTGTTTTTTTTTATCTAAGTGCAACATAATGTGTAATGAATGACTTCTCACTGGGTATGGAGACTTTGATGATTTTTGTGACCAGATTCATTACATAACAGATCAAATTTTGTAGCAGGGAAATTCGCATCGATACAAACATCAAAGATAGATATGAATACACTGAAATGAAGTGATAGCTATGAACACAGTGAGATAGATATGAATAGAGTGAGAAAGATATTGAACATACTAAGGTAGATACATAGATATGAACAGACTTAGATATAAACAGAGATAGATTTGGAGATATAAACAGAGATAGATTTGGTGACCATGACATCACAGATAAATAGATATGAACAGACTTAGATAAATAGATATGAACAGATTGAGATAGATATAACCAGAGAGATGTGAACAGATTGAGATAGAGAGATAGATATGAACCGACTTATGTAGGTAGATAGATAAGAACAAACTGAGATAGACAGATAGATATGAAAAGGACTGAGATAGATAGATATGAAAAGAACAGATAGTGAGATTTGGTGAGCATGACATCATAAATAAATAGGTAGATAGATATGAACAGAGTGAGATAAATAGATATCAATGGACTGAGATAGTGAGATTTGGTGATCATGACATCATAGATAGATAGATAAATGGATAGATAGATATAGACTGACTGAAATAGATATGAACAGATTGAGATAGAGAGATATGAATCAGCTGAGATAGATAGATTGGTAGATATGAACAGACTGAGATAAATAGATAGATATGAACAGACTGGGATAGATAGATAGATAGATAGATAGATAGGAAGAGATTGAGATAGATTTGGTGAGCATGACATCATGGATAGATAGATAGATAGATAGATATGAACAGACTGAGATAAATAGATATGAACAGAATCATTTGATTAACTGATTTGTTTTTTTTGACAGCTTATCAACCCAGTGCAGATTATTTAAAGGCAGGAAATATTTTTAACATAAGAATTTTGTTTTAGATAATAATGTTTTAGTGAAACAAGTCTTACTAATTAACCCATACCTGGGTGGGGAAGAGGTAGATTCATACATTTACCGAGGGTATTTGCACATAACTGAATATAAAGAAACCAACGTGAATTGGAACTCAGCTCTCTGATTAACAATTGTGAGCCATTATCCATTACACCACCTGCACATCCAAGTTAATACACTTGGTGATTCCAAGTAGTCATCTTACTAGGTACTGACCAGGCTCAACGTTGCTTAACTTCAGTTATTGTAAAGGAACCAGTGTTTCATCATGTCGAGCAAAAGTGTATTCCAATCTTTTTCAACGGTATTTGCGCATAAGTGAATGTAATGAACCCAACAGGAACTGGAACTTGGCTTTCTGATTATCAATTCCGAGCCATTATCAATTACACCTACACATCTAAGCTTACAGCACCTGCTATTATCAAGTGGTTACCCATCTAGGTACTGACCAGGCTCAACGTTGCTTAGCTTCTGTGATTGCACAGGAATCAATGTTTCAATGTGATGTGACCATAAGATCAATAGATAAAGAACATACTGAGGTATATAGATAGATAAGAAACACACGGAGGTATATAGATAAGGAACACACTGAGGTATATAGATAGATGAGGAACACACTGAGGTATATAGATAGATGAGGAACACACTGAGGTATATAGATAGATGAGGAACACACTGAGGTATATAGATAGATAAGGAACACACGAAGGTATATAGATAGATAAAGAACATACTGAGGTATATAGATAGATAAGGAACACACTGAGGTATATGGATAGATAAGGAACACACTGAGGTATATAGATAGATAAGAAACACACTGAGGTATATAGATAGATAGATAAGAAACACACTGAGGTATATAGATAGATAGATAAGGAACACACTGAGGTATATAGATAGATAGATAGATAAGGAACACACTGAGGTATATAGATAGATAGATAGATAAGGAACACACTGAGGTATATAGATAGATAAGGAACATGCTGAAGTACATAGACATATATGAACAGAACAATTAGATAAATGGACTGAGATAAAAAGATAGGAACAGCTTATAACAGTTAAAAAACAGTTTTAAAAAATCTGTCTATATTTCTGAGATGAGGTATTATGCACATTATTTACATTATTCAGACTATTGTCCTCATCTTTGTTGACACATGGCACAGTGGATAAAGACGTTGGTTAGATCCAGTGACAAGACCTAAAGAGTGTGAGTTCAATACCCGATTAAGGCAGTGGAGAACTTGGAGAGGGAAATTAACAGGAGATAACTGATAACTGACATCCATTAAACATAGCACGTGGAACTTGAACAGTCTACTCCAGTGAGCGAAATAAAGGGTTCAGTTCAACATTCCAACCACCTGAAGAAGGCCGGAGCATATAACAACCGAAATGTTGTAATAAATCTGGTGACAAAGATGAGGACAATAGTCTGAATAATGTAAATAAAATTTTTAAAAATATTCTAAATTTAAAAACAAGTAATAAAATTCAAAAAGTTAAAAAACAAAATTTAACTAACCTCTGGAAAGTGAATTAGAATTTGGTTTTTGATTGCCTGATTGTCTTTTGCTGTCCAGCAATAACATTTGAGTGGCTGCTTCTGAAAGGTTCAAGCATTGCATCTGAATACTGTGTGTCTTCGAGTTTGGTGGCCATGACATCATGGAAGATTTGTCCAAGGAAAACTTGCTTCTCCAAGTTCAGTTAAAAAAAATAATTAATATTAACAATTACAAGTCTAACATTAATTCATCTAGAATAAATACTGAGCCCTGCACAAAATTGTTTGGTAAACAATTTTTTTTTTTTTCTGGTTTTGTTTTTTTCAGTCACAACTGTGAAAACCACTGATCAGCACTCAACGAAAATTTCTTTTGTGAATCTCAGAAAGAAAGAAAATAAAATTACAAATGGTGTCTGGTTTGTTTACAGGTCATTATTGTTGTTGGTGTTGTTAACTTCTTTCAGCATTGTTGAAGTCATTCAGATAATCGAGAATGCCATTGGATGGTATTGTTGGCTTGGTTGCTCTTATCAACGGCAGGCAGCCGAGGTAGGTTAGTAGGTAGAGGGAGAAGTTGGGTGGGGGCAGGAGCAGGTTAGGGTGGCAGCTTCTACATTATGAAAGACACTTAAAACATTAATCATGATATATTGGCGAGTCAATAGTTTCTTGTATAAATGACAAAACCTTGATATGAACATCTCAGGTGAATTTCATATAAATTTGATCAACTTTAAAAGCACAGCTAATGCAATCCTGAATATCTATCTATCGACATATATATATATATATTTTTGTTTTTTTTTATTAATTGTTATATTTATGGCTATTTTGATCAAATGGGTTATACTCACCTGGTGAGTTTGGTTGGTATGTGTATAATATGCACACACCAGCTACAGTTTTACCATCTTGGACTTGCCTGGGAGTTAAGGGTTCCTATTTCACACACTACAGTTACTGACCGCCTAATGATTGCATGAAAGCATATGAAATTGGTAGTTGTGGTCAGTCACTATCTACTCGAAATTTTATTTCATACATACATACATACATATATTTTACAGCAAAAAAACAAAACAAAAATTACCTAAACATAGAGCTGTAAAAAGTACATATGCTCCGTTATAATAAATACATTGAGCTCTCTGTGGATCAGTTTTAATAATTAATATTACTAGGATCCACCCAGATTATATACCAATGGATCGATTACCTGTACTATATATATATATATATATATATATATATATATATATATATATTACACAATCTGTTATTTAGAAAAACATCATGAACCTCTGTCGCTATTTTCATGGAAAGTATTGATATGAATGACATTCCTTAGTTCCACCAGTTCTATCACGGCTAAGACCCGCTATGCCACACACATTGTAGCAGTCCACCCTCATTCCTTTTGTTTTCCACTGATGAGATGTAAGTGCCACTCAAGCAGCTTCTTACAAACTGCAGCTTTGTGGTTCAGAATCCCAAGAGGACAATTTCCTGATCACTATAGTTTTAGTTTGTTCAAGTCTAGGATCAACTGTTAACTTCCCCATAAACTGTACCTCTTACTCTGTATCTCTCTACCTCGAGTGGCTCTTGGGCCTTGTACAGGGTGAGCATCATTGTTAAAAAAAAAAAACACACACTTTTTAAAAAAAATAAATGGTGTACCTATGTAGACCTCATAGCTGCATAAAACAATGTCAATAGAGACTTCCTCTTTTCATCTTCCAAACTCTTAACTCAGCTGAATGTCCTGAGGAATTATATTGGTCCACAAAAAACCATACATGGATTGTGAGAACCGCAATAAAGAAACATTTCAAACTTCATCAGGAGGACAACAAGGAGGAAATGAGAGCCCTAATCTATTTAATCACTTCCTAGACTATGCTCAACACATATACAAGCACAGATGTGAAGAGATGGGCACTGATTGTTTAAGCATTCCATACCACATCACAAATGAATCTATCCATAGAAAACCACAATCGTGTCTATAAGCCCCTATTTAATATCCTCTCTATAAGCCACTGTCTATTTAATCTCTTTCTAGATTATGCTCTGCACATATACAAGCACGGATGTGAAGAGATGGGCACTGATTGTTTAAGATTTCTATACCACATCTCAAATGAATCTACTAATAGAAAATAGCATTCCTGCTTTCCATCTTGTAGAAAGATTTTTTTGGGTGCAGTTAAATTCCTCAAAGACAAAGACAGAAACACTTGGAGAAAAGAAGCAACTCAACAAAGATTTAATGCCCCTACCATTTACCTGGAGCTCCTCAATATTATAAGTCCTGATCTGGCAGCTTGGCTTCAGTCACTTGCCCACTGCCATAAGGTTCCTTCTTTCTGCCTTTTTCATAAATATTTACTGGTAATTGTTTGGATGAGCTTTTCACTATGGTACCTAGACTATAAAATTAAATGCAGTACTAGAGTAGCATCAAGATCTCATCAATTTACAGTTGAGCTGCCTAGATGTAACCATAACTTTTATGTTAATAATTTCCTTTCTCACACTTGCTTGTGGAACTCCCTTCAGGCTCCATGCTTTCCAGCAAACTTTAATCTGCAAAAATTTAAATGCAATGTCAATCACTATCATTTACTCCTGCCTTGATAGTAAGGCTGATCAGTCCAACAAGGTCAAAATGGAAGCTGATGTACAAAAGGACCTCAAGAATTTTGTTAACTGCAGCAAAAGATGGCTTGTCAATTTTAACGCCCCCCCCAAAAAAAAAACTGAATTTCTCTCTATTAATCTGAGAGACCCTTCTCAGCCATCTATCAGCATGGCTGATGCTAACCTATAGGAAAGTGGCTTGTTGCACCTTTTCAGGCTAACATTCTCAGCTGACATGAAGTGGAAAGACTATATTGAATCAATTGCTAAGTCAGCTGCTAAGAAAGTCAGTTCATTGTGTCATGCAAGACAATTTTTCTCTCCAGAATCTATCTTACATATCTATTAGTCTACCATTCATCCATGCTTACAGTATTACTGCCATATATGGTCTGGTGTCTCCGCTATTTACCTGGAGCTCCTCAGTAAGATCCAAAGAAGAATCAGCAATATTATTGGTCCTGATCTGGCAGCTTGGCTTCATTCACTTGCCCACCACAATACAGTTGCCTCGCTGTGCTTTTCTTTTTAATAAATATTTACTGGTAATTGTTTGGATGAGCTTTTCACTATGGTACCTAGACAATAAAATTAAATGCAGTTCTAGAGTAGCGTCATGATCTCATCAATTTATAGTTGAGCTGCCGAGATGTAAGCATAACTTCTATGTTAACAATTTCCTTTCTCAAACTTCTTGCTTGTGGAACTCCCTTTCGGCTCCATGCAAAAATTTAAATGCAATGTTGTTGTGACCAAGTAAATGGTTAAGTACACCAGAAGAGTATTACACAACTAGTAAGAGTGTATCGAATGAACTAGCACTCAATATATTCATAGTTTCTGGAAACCTTTTGTCCTACTAATCTTATAGTAGGCGGAAGAGTCTAATATAGACTCTTAAGAGGGAGGACACCACAACAAATGTTAATCACTATCTACTGTCCTCTTGATTGTTCTTTTCTCTTTTTGCTCATTATTAATGTTTCTGTTCCTAATTCCTCCACACCCTCTAATCCCTTGCATCTTAGTGGCTTTACTGCCTTGCATGGAGTGACACTGATTAAAAAAAAATGTCAGCAATATTCACTACAGTTGATGCTGTGAGTGTAAACGTTAGTTAAAGAATATGGTACCTCTGATTTAGGTAAAATTTTTGTACTTTTGTTTTTCAAAGTAATTATTGCTGGGGACCTCTATGCTTCGGTAGAATCTGACCTCTGAAGACTTCTTTTGATGACTGTTCTTTGACAATTCTTTTTGATGATATTTCTTGGCAAATGAACTGACGATTATGTGCAACTGAGCCTTGACTGGCTACAAAAACTTTCCAACCACATGAATGTCAAGGAGCCCAGATTAACACATAAAAGAATAATATATGGATTTATTCAAGGATATAATAAGTATCTTTTTTATAAATGCCATGTCACTTCAGGATGTGAGATTTTTAACATCTATGAATTACTTTGACTTCTTGCTGTGGCTTCACACTGCCTTCTCTATGGTTTTGAATTCAGGATGGTTATTCTGACTGCCACAAAAGGCTAGAAAGCACATCTTGTTATTTAACCCATAGCTTTGGGGGAAGAGAAATGAATAGATGCCTTTCACAAGAGTATAAACACAAAAGTGAATTCAACAAACTTGGCAAGAATTTGAACTCTAGTTACGATTCCATATTCAACACGGATAACAATCATGTCATTCACACATCAATGGGATACTGTGTTAATTATATATACATTATTTCTACAATCTCAATTTTTTGAATTTATTTATGATTAACTAAAATTGATTGATTCATTTTCTACAGTTTATCAACCCTCTTAACTTGTTGCTTAACTTTGGTGATCGTACAGGAATTGGTGTTAAAACATGATGTGGTCATAATCTGATTAAATATAAATTTATGTGCTTAAATACCTTGGTATATAGATCACAAATTTAGTGTAGGTGATGTGGAAGCTGAATATGGAATAACTGCTATTTGGACATTTGGCCGACGAACATTTAACCAAATGGACATTTAGCCAAAAATGTAGTGGTGTACTTACATGTATGTCACACTCTTTATTATAATGTGCCACATATATTTATATTTATTTACTGTATTAATTTATAATTTTTTGCTTTTTGTGACAGGCTTTTTTAAAAAATCTATTCTGTATATATTATATTTTACTTCAAATATGACTGTAAGATGATAAGTATTTTGAAAAAAAAAAGCACATTTTACTAAAGCAAAAATTTTAATCTTTTACAAGATGAAAGATCTTTCAATTTCACTGAGAAACAGGGGATTTTCTGTGAACAATTGCTCACACCAATATATTCAAAGTACACTAATGTACTATATTATTAGTCCTATTCTACTTGATAATACTGCTAATTAAAATACTTAAAGTATTGCTTGTTACTTTTTTATTTGTACTTTTTCAGTCAAATGACCATTATTAAAATGTTTCTCGGTCACAGAATAGGCTGCATAGTTTCGCCCAATGCTGCAAATTGCTACAAAACCTGAAAATTTGAGTCATGAACTTCAATCCTTTGCCTGTCCTCCCCATCATATGGTCACAGGACATGTGATTTCCATGTTTGTGTATCATATGTTGTGCACATGAGCCACGATTTTAAAAGAGTGGTAAAACTAAAGACCCTTTAAAAAAGAATCTTCTACTGAGCAGAATGTTTAAGGAAAGGCCTAATGTAATATTTTGTGCATCATTTTATAATTACTGGAAACTTAACTGATAATATAAAGTCTCAAATAAAAGATATCTATTTTTCCGCTTCATTGAAATGATTATAACTTTTGCATCACATGATGCACAGGGCATAGTGTAAATAACTTATGATTTGGACGTTTTTATTATGTGAAACACTATATATCAGCACGTTTTATTTGCCAAATAAGCTGAGTTGCCTTGCAGTAGTTATAAATCTGAAAAACAAGCATAAACATTTGGATAGTACACATGAAACAGGCAAAGGGTTAAACAATCTTATCAGATTGAAACTTTTATATAAATGTCATGAATTGTGCCAAACACATTCAGAAAAAAAACTGTCAGCTATATCCAACCGCATTCTAAGATCAAGAGTTGAAAATGGCTTTGAGCAAGTGAAGCCTGTGTATCTAGGCAATGACCATCTTTTTTGAACATAATGGACTGGTGCTACAAAATCACAATCAACAATACTAAATAAATTCAAAGCAAAAACAATGATATAATCAAGATGTTGATGTTCCACACAATGTCAAACAAAAGGTTAGGAAGGAAACTCCCATCAATACTGGAAAGCATAATAACAGTTACTGGACTTGAAAAACATATTTTCATGAAAAATGGTTTTAAGAGAAGTGTTTTTATAAATTTCAACCGAAAGCAATGCTGGCTGCTTGGTCAATGAATGCCAAATGTTTCCTTATAAGGAAACAACCAATATTACCATTATAGAAGCTGACAGCTGCAAAGTAAGTTAAGACCAATATTTTTCTTTAACCATTACCCCACCAAATTCTTTCTAGAATTCTTCCCCCTGCCACTGCAGATTTTTGAGGGTACCCAAACCATGCTGTTTTGAGGGTGCCAAAACACCTACTGTTTTAAATTTGTTATAACTTCCTTTGTATTACGTGTATAGATTTTAATATTTGTATACTAATATAAGAATGAATGAGTAATATTTTGAGATATAATGCTTTGTTTTGCATATATGTTTTGATATTGAAAACAAAAAAATTGAAATACAAAATAAAACCAAAAGCTAAAAAAAAAAATATATTAACAATTGAACATACTTTAACTTTTATTACTCCTCATAGAGTTCTGGGTTGCAATAAGAAGCAAAATGGCTAAAAAGGAATTCATTTTGTCAACAGTGATATGCTTTCTTGTGTTTACATACAAGTAGACACCAGTATTTGTTTGGTTTTTCTTTCACCTGACTAACATATTTATTTGTCTTGTTAACAAATAAAGTCATTATTTCGTGGTTTATAAATAGACAAAATAAAATTCACCTTCAGAAAGGCTATCAGTTACATCCATGGGACAAGTAACTTCCATAAAATTAGTCAGCCACGGATGATGATAACCGCTCAGCACCTACTGGGCATCATAATTTTCCTCCCAGTCATTAGCATTGTTCTAATCTCTTATCTCCAACCACTTCGCTGTCAATATATCCACTTAAGTAAAGCCTTCAGAATTATCAACGGAGTCCGAATCAAAGAAAAACTTCTGAGTAAATACTTTGCCCGATGTTGATACGGCCATTTTTGTTTACAAAAAATTGTGTTAAAATTAACATGGATTTAATTGATGTTACACCTTGTGTAGAAGAATTAAAAATGCTTTTGGAAAACAGAAGTTTAACCTCGTTCCAAAGTGGTAGTAGGCTATTTCCAGTTTAAAATACTGAAAATGACAATTGACAACTGTTTATTTATAGCAACCCTCTTGAAGTGACAGAATGCGCCTAGAACAGCAAAGGGAGAGAATTCTATGGTAATAATTTTCGCCTCCAGCTAGATAAACATTAATAAGAGCAGATATCGTAAGATGAAACTCTTACACTATATTGATTGATTGATTGTTTCTTTATGGCTTATCAACCCTTTTGCGAGTTATTTTAAGCTAGAAAATATTTTTGCATTGTAAGAATTTTTTTATGGGAGATAATAATAGTTTAGTAATACAAGTCTTACTAATTAACTCATAGATGGGGGGGGGAGAAGTGATGGATTCATACCTAATCAGAATTTGATAAATAAACAAGAAATTATCAGGTAGATATAAACTGGGGGATCAATTCTATACTACAAGCAGTATATAAAATGATCCCTCACTTCGTGGCCACGGTAGTTTCTATACATTGATATTTCAGAGAATGTAAATATATCTAAAAAAAAAAAAACGTGCCTGTGTAGCTAATCAGTATATCATTGATTAATTATTTAATTTGTACAGCTTATCAACCCTTTGCAGGTTATTTAAAGCCAGAAAATGTTTTTAGATGGTAAGAATTTTTTTTTAAGATTATAATAATTCATTGATACAAGTACTACTAATTAATCCACAGCTGGGGGAGAAGAGGTGGATTCATACCTTTCCCAAGGGTATTTGAATATAATAATAATAATAATAATATAATGAACCCTACTGGAATTTGAACTTGGTTCTCTGATTAACAATTCTTTGCCATTATCCATTACCCCACCCACACATGGTATACAAAAGCAGTCACCTATCTAGGTACTAACTAAGCCCAATGTTGCTTAACCTCGGTGATTGTACGAGAACAGGTGTTCCAATGTGATACGGGCATAAGCCATTTTTTATATATAAATTTATCTTGAAAACTTTACCAATTGGTTAATACAAATTTTATTGTGAAAACATTAACATACATAATGAAACCTGATGTAAGTAAATTTATTATTGGCAACAACATGGGGGATCAGTTTACAAGTTAACTATAATCAAGAAATGATCCCTCATTTTACATCCACAACACTCTTTCTTTTTGGTTAATCGATTATTATTGGTTTCATATTTACTTTCCCTGGATTTATAGAAATAGATAGAAACTACTAAGGCAAAAGAGAGGGATTACTTTACAGATTCATTGTAATTTTGAACTGATCCCTCACTTTATATCCTCATCACACACTGTTAAATAATGATTTACTATACAGATATGTTTTTCATACCCTCTGGATGACAGAAAAGTATAGAATATATTATGGCTATTAAATGGGGGACCAGTTTACAGTACATTTTAAATTGATGCTCAATCGGTTTTTACCAAATATTACCTACAAGTGCATTTTTTTGGCACAAACCTTCCAATATTCCACCATTATCCTGAAATAAAGTAAAAAATTCCAATATGAAACAACAAGATGCTGCCAGAGAGTCAGTGTTTTCATATATGACAAATTTTAATCACAAAAATAATCTCTTATAATGAACTTTAAAAAAAAGCAGACATGACATTTCTAAAAGCTGTCATGTGCAAAAAAAACATTTCTGAGATTCTTAGAATGCCTTATCATTTTTTACATGGACTCATATTTGAAGGCATGGTTTTAATAAAAAAAAAATTTCTTACAAAAAGAAATTTTCTATCAATTATATATTACACTAGCACTTTGAGAAGAGTCATTATCATTCCAAGAGTTTGAACAATTCTTGGAATGATAATGACACAGTATCTGTTATCTCCCATACTGAGACGTCCGGAAGAGGCATGGCACGTGGAACTAGAACGAGCTACCCCAATGGATGAAATAAAGGGTTCAGTTTGAAATTCCAATCACCTGAAGAAGATCAGAGTTTACAACAGCCGAAGCCTCATGAATAAGACAACAAAGATGAGGACAGCAGTTCGAACAATGTAAATCTGTGAATTACGATGACTTCTTGGGAAAGATAGAAGAATGGTTTCCAGTTGCCTTGGTTCTGAATCCAGAGGTTTCTTTCTCCTAGACTGGTTGCCACCTAAGGCTAGAGATCCTAATCTACCCTACTATTTAAATATAAGGAAGTGAAGATGGAGACATGCCTTTCCCAAGTGCATTTGTGTGAAAGTGAGTGCAAAAAAAGTTGCCAAAAGAAATATTCATGATGCTCAATGTCATTTTTTAAGAAAAAAAAAAAGCATATTTTAAATGAGATCAAGTAAAAAAAACAAATTAACAAAAAAAAACTTTATAAAATCTCTTTTTTTTTGTTTTCAGAGAAATTTACATAATGAAAGACCAATACGAAGTTTTTGCAGATCCAGAGAGTCAACCATGACCTCAATACGATCACCAAGTTCAAGTTTTGAGCGATTCTTTTGGGCCAACAGGTCCGGTTTCATTTTGCTAATGTGCAAAAGGCCGTCAATGCCAACACCAACATCAACAAAGGCCCCAAAATGAGTCACATTTGATACACGGCCACTCAACTTTTGACCAGTGGTCAAGTCCTTCAGGGATGTGATTTCAGTACGAAACAATGGCTTCTCATACTCTGCAAAAAACAAAAAGAAAGAAAAACATAAAAATTTTTTTTAAAATGATAGCTTTTATGACAAATTGACTCACCTATAATGGTCAAGTTATATAAAAATCTTTTTTCCAGGCTGATTCTCTTTAATCACATCGCCAAGATTCTGATTCTGGATGTACTTTTATGGCACACTGACTTTTATATAATGGTCATCTAGTGTCAAACAAGGATTTTTAAGCAAATTCTTATAGTTTTTAATCATATTGCCAAGATTCTGATTTTGAATGTACTTTTATGACACACTGACTGTTATATATTGGTCATATAATGCTAACTGGGATTTTTAAATAAATTGTCATAATCATTAATCCCATTTTCAGGAATGTGATTATCAGTGGTTTAATGACACACTGAGACCTATATATTGGTCATGTAATGCTAAACAAGGATTTTTAAGTAGATTCTAATACTTGTTAATCCTATCTTCAAGAATGTGATTCTGAATGTGGTTTTATGGCACATTGAGTTCTATAGATTGGTCATGTCATGCCAAAAAAGGATTTTAAATGAGATTTTCATGAACTTTAATCACAAATCTAAGGTTTTATGGCATATTAATTCCTATATACTAGTCATGTAGATTGAAACAATGATTTTAGAACAGATTCTCCAATTTTTTTCAGACAAAATCGCAAGTAATCAGATTTGAAGGAAAATCAATAAGTCTGTAGCTGGGCACAGTTTTTAGCTGATATTTTTTATCTGAAATTTTCAATGTATAATGTTTAATCTATGTGATGAACAGAATAGTAATGGATTGACAAAGGAGAAGAAGTTTATGGTAAAAATTAAAAATTTGTTTTCTTAGAAAAAATCTTACTCATTATTATTATTATTATTATTATTATTACTAGTTTTATTCCATCTTATTATTGCTTTTTATCCCAACACTCTGGCTCTATACACTCTTCATTATTACTATTATTTTATTTCTAGTTTTATTCCATCTTATTATTGTTGCTTTTTATCCCAACACTCTGGCTCTATACACTCTTCATTATTACTATTATTTTATTTCTAGTTTTATTCCATCTTATTATTGTTGCTTTTTATCTCAACATTCTGGCTCTATACACTCTTCATTATTACTATTATTTTAGTACTAGTTTTATTCCATCTTATTATTGTTGCTTTTTATCCCAACACTCTGGCTCTATACACTCTTCATTATTACTATTATTTTAGTACTAGTTTTATTCCATCTTATTATTGTTGCTTTTTATCCCAACACTCTAGCTCTATACACTCTTCATTATTACTATTATTTTATTTCTAGTTTTATTCCATCTTATTATTGTTGCTTTTTATCCCAACACTCTGGCTCTATACACTCTTCATTATTACTATTATTTTATTTCTAGTTTTATTCCATCTTATTATTGTTGCTTTTTTATCCCAACACTCTGGCTCTATACACTCTTCATTATTACTATTATTTTATTTCTAGTTTTATTCCATCTTATTATTGTTGCTTTTTATCCCAACACTCTGGCTCTATACACTCTTCATTATTACTATTATTTTATTTCTAGTTTTATTCCATCTTATTATTGTTGCTTTTTATCCCAACACTCTGGCTCTATACACTCTTCATTATTACTATTATTTTTATTTCTAGTTTTATTCCATCTTATTATTGTTGCTTTTTTATCCCAACACTCTGGCTCTATACACTCTTCATTATTACTATTATTTTATTTCTAGTTTTATTCCATCTTATTATTGTTGCTTTTTTATCCTAACACTCTGGCTCTATACACTCTTCATTATTACTATTATTTTATTTCTAGTTTTATTCCATCTTATTATTGTTGCTTTTTTATCCTAACACTCTGGCTCTATACACTCTTCATTATTACTATTATTTTATTTCTAGTTTTATTCCATCTTATTATTGTTGCTTTTTTATCCCAACACTCTGGCTCTATACACTCTTCATTATTACTATTATTTTAGTACTAGTTTTATTCCATCTTATTATTGTTGCTTTTTTATCCCAACACTCTGGCTCTATACACTCTTCATTATTACTATTATTTTAGTACTAGTTTTATTCCATCTTATTATTGTTGCTTTTTTATCCCAACACTCTGGCTCTATACACTCTTCATTATTACTATTATTTTAGTACTAGTTTTATTCCATCTTATTATTGTTGCTTTTTATCCCAACACTCTGGCTCTATACACTCTTCATTATTACTATTATTTTAGTACTAGTTTTATTCCATCTTATTATTGTTGCTTTTTATCCCAACACTCTGGCTCTATACACTCTTCATTATTACTATTATTTTAGTACTAGTTTTATTCCATCTTATTATTGTTGCTTTTTATCCCAACACTCTGGCTCTATACACTCTTCATTATTACTATTATTTTAGTACTAGTTTTATTCCATCTTATTATTGTTGCTTTTTATCCCAACACTCTGGCTCTATACACTCTTCATTATTACTATTATTTTAGTACTAGTTTTATTCCATCTTATTATTGTTGCTTTTTATCCCAACACTCTGGCTCTATACACTCTTCATTATTACTATTATTTTAGTACTAGTTTTATTCCATCTTATTATTGTTTGCTTTTTTTATCCCAACACTCTGGCTCTATACACTGTTCATTATTACTATTATTTTAGTACTAGTTTTATTCCATCTTATTATTGTTGCTTTTTATCCCAACACTCTGGCTCTATACACTCTTCATTATTACTATTATTTTAGTACTAGTTTTATTCCATCTTATTATTGTTGCTTTTTATCCCAACACTCTGGCTCTATACACTCTTCATTATTACTATTATTTTAGTACTAGTTTTATTCCATCTTATTATTGTTGCTTTTTATCCCAACACTCTGGCTCTATACACTGTTCATTATTACTATTATTTTAGTACTAGTTTTATTCCATCTTATTATTGTTGCTTTTTTATCCCAACACTCTGGCTCTATACACTCTTCATTATTACTATTATTTTAGTACTAGATTTATTCCATCTTATTATTGTTGCTTTTATCCCAACACTCTGGCTCTATACACTCTTCATTATTACTATTATTTTAGTACTAGTTTTATTCCATCTTATTATTGTTGCTTTTATCCCAACACTCTGGCTCTATACACTCTTCATTATTACTATTATTTTAGTACTAGTTTTATTCCATCTTATTATTGTTGCTTTTTATCCCAACACTCTGGCTCTATACACTCTTCATTATTACTATTATTTTATTTCTAGTTTTATTCCATCTTATTATTCTTGCTTTTTATCCCAACACTCTGGCTCTATACACTGTTCATTATTACTATTATTTTAGTACTAGTTTTATTCCATCTTATTATTGTTGCTTTTTATCCCAACACTCTGGCTCTATACACTGTTCATTATTACTATTATTTTATTTCTAGTTTTATTCCATCTTATTATTGTTGCTTTTTTTATCCAACACTCTGGCTCTATACACTCTTCATTATTACTATTATTTTATTTCTAGTTTTATTCCATCTTATTATTGTTGCTTTTTATCCCAACACTCTGGCTCTATACACTGTTCATTATTACTATTATTTTATTTCTAGTTTTATTCCATCTTATTATTGTTGCTTTTTATCCCAACACTCTGGCTCTATACACTGTTCATTATTACTATTATTTTATTTCTAGTTTTATTCCATCTTATTATTGTTGCTTTTTATCCCAACACTCTGGCTCTATATACACTCTTCATTATTACTATTATTTTATTTCTAGTTTTATTCCATCTTATTATTGTTGCTTTTTATCCCAACACTCTGGCTCTATACACTCTTCATTATTACTATTATTTTATTTCTAGTTTTATTCCATCTTATTATTGTTGCTTTTTTATCCCAACACTCTGGCTCTATACACTGTTCATTATTACTATTATTTTATTTCTAGTTTTATTCCATCTTATTATTGTTGCTTTTTATCCCAACACTCTGGCTCTATACACTCTTCATTATTACTATTATTTTATTTCTAGTTTTATTCCATCTTATTATTGTTGCTTTTTATCCCAACACTCTGGCTCTATACACTCTTCATTATTACTATTATTTTATTTCTAGTTTTATTCCATCTTATTATTGTTGCTTTTTTATCCCAACACTCTGGCTCTATACACTGTTCATTATTACTATTATTTTAGTACTAGTTTTATTCCATCTTATTATTTTTGCTTTTTATCCCAACTTACTCTGGCTCTATACACTGTTCATTATTACTATTATTTTATTTCTAGTTTTATTCCATCTTATTATTGTTGCTTTTTTTTTTATCCCAACACTCTGGCTCTATACACTCTTCATTATTACTATTATTTTATTACTAGTTTTATTCCATCTTATTATTGTTGCTTTTTTATCCCAACACTCTGGCTCTATACACTGTTCATTATTACTATTATTTTATTTCTAGTTTTATTCCATCTTATTATTGTTTGCTTTTTTATCCCAACACTCTGGCTCTATACACTCTTCATTATTACTATTATTTTAGTACTAGTTTTATTCCATCTTATTATTGTTGCTTTTTATCCCAACACTCTGGCTCTATACACTCTTCATTATTACTATTATTTTATTTCTAGTTTTATTCCATCTTATTATTGTTGCTTTTTATCCCAACACTCTGGCTCTATACACTGTTCATTATTACTATTATTTTATTTCTAGTTTTATTCCATCTTATTATTGTTGCTTTTTATCCCAACACTCTGGCTCTATACACTGTTCATTATTACTATTATTTTATTTCTAGTTTTATTCCATCTTATTATTTTGCTTTTTATCCCAACACTCTGGCTCTATACACTCTTCATTATTACTATTATTTTAGTACTAGTTTTATTCCATCTTATTATTGTTGCTTTTTATCCCAACACTCTGGCTCTATACACTGTTCATTATTACTATTATTTTATTTCTAGTTTTAT